GATTCATTTTCTTTATTCTCTGTTCAAACTTCGTCGCTATGATGTTCAGGCAAGCTAATGGTTTGATGCTTCAGTTGGGCTCTCCAGCAGATCATGGTTGGGATGAAAAAGGATCAGTTCGTGGGAGTGAAATACGTTACCCGGAAGATATATCTGAGCTTTTGCTTAATCAAGCTGAAGTCAACGAAAATCTTGAAACTGAGGATGTCGAGTGTAGTGACTCTGAAGACGACTTTGAGGACCTTTGAAACAATCTAGCTTATCTTTCAAACTTTGCTTAGATGATCCGCAATGATTTCCATTATTGTTATTTATTAATTAGTGATAAAACAGTGCTGCATTTCCCCTATGAAATTGTAAAATCAGTCTGGCTAGAGAAATGCTTAGCAGAAATTGTAAAATAACGCTAGTGGATCGTGAAAACGAGGCTGTTTGCCCCCCTGAAAAGCCAAAATTGAATGGTTAACTTTATTTCTCAGCAAAGATACCAGATATCTACTTTTTAGAATTCACCCATTTCCACTTCAAACTGTTTTCTCGCTTGTTTCCATGAAAGACACGAAAACGAGACTTAAAACACGAAAAAGAGGCTGATGGCCCCCCAAATTCCCCGTATAACATCGATTTTCGAAATCAGCACCCTCGAATTGACCAAAAGCACTTGGTCCCATAAATTTCGCCCTCGGGGGACCATTCCCCTATTCTCCGCCTGGTCTACTGCCGGATAAAAGATTGTGTTTTATTATGAATTGAGACGTTTCGTTACTAAGTATCTTTACTTTTCATGACTGAATTGAGAAACGAAGTGTGAACAATTGGGTCACAAAAGAACACTCCAAATTGCCAAACAGTTCTTACTGACTAAAGTGTTTACCTCATGATCGTGAAATATTTCCGACATGAACGATCAGTAAAATTTTTGCACCATCAGCAAGCTTTTATTTTTCGATTTAGCACTCTCCCCCATTTTTTAGACCCCCACTTTCTTTAAAGCTCCGCTGTCCCTGCTTGGATGTGACAAAAATCAATGCTGGAGAAACAAAAATTCAGTAAGCAATTCTATGTTCTCCCTAAAAGTGTGCTTACAGTAAACTTTAGCCCTCTAACCTGTTATTATAAAAATTGATGATAACTGTAACATGAATGGAGTAGTACCTTTACCTTAGATACAGGGTCAGTTGTGGTGCGGTATCTTGGAACACAAAATTTAGTAACAGAAACATGAAAAAGACGTTTTAACATCAAGAGAATTCGCTAATGGAAGACTTTAGCAACAAAGTTATAAAAAGCACGAAGTTATAAAAGGGCTGGCACTGCTAAACCATATGTTTCTGCTTGGTAACTTACCTATATCTATAATAAGTTACTGAACCAATCTGATAATTCTAAATTTGGCCGTGATATTTTAAGAAAAACTCTCCTTAATGATTAATGATTTTTGTTTTTCTCTTGGTGTGCCACAACTCACTTAATGATTAATGATCTTTGCTCTCGTTCCTGGGTTGATTTAAAGCCTTTTGCAGTTCTTGTCTTATATGCTTCACGAATCTTGTTATAAATGCAGGCTGGTAACGGTCTTGCATCATCATACTCCAGAATCCCAAATATCCATCTGATCAACCATTTGTAGGCAACTGCTCTTAAGAACCTGAAAAAGATTAATTTTTCAAATGTATCTCAAACAAGAATTAAGTTTCAAAGAACTTATACAAGCCAAGGCTGTGATCCATTAGTTTCCTTACATACGATTTAAATGAAAATTATGCCAACAGGAATTCATCAAATAAGAAACTAGTGTATTTAGGCAACTAGCAACTAGCATGAGCATTAAATGTTAAAAACAAAATCTGGCTGCCTTGGCCCAGTGATGCCATTAATTTTGAACAATTTTCCACAAATTTTACACAACTTCCTTGTTATTACTTCTCCAGAAATATAAAGCTTCTAACAATATATATGATTACAAAACACACTCATTTTCTGGTTGATTCTCTTTGCCTCTATAACTTCTACCATATCTAGTTTTAAAAAGAGGCCCAGCTAGCTCCAAAACAGTTTTGCAGCAAAACGTTGCACTCAACTTTACACTAAAAATCGCTAATCTAATAAAAAATACCAAAAATGACCCTCCCCCCCAAAAAAGTAGGAAACATGAAGGTTTTTTAAGGACGATGAATAGGTAAAATATGTTAAAGAAATTAGTTTTCTTCAAATCTGGGTATAAAATTGTAGTTTTATCCTCTCCATGTCAACCCAAACAGAATTTTTATTTGTTAACTCTCCTGTTTATCTTCCTCAAGAAGCAGAAACTGATGAAACTGATGGCCAGATGTGCAATGAAATAATGAAAGTTTTTTTGGATTCAAAAAATTTAAAATCAAGAGCAGATAATTTAATGGCTGAAATTCAATCACTAAATAATAAGGTAGCAGAGTTGGAGTCTAAGTTGGCAGACATGAAAAAATATCTTTTCTCTATTGAGTAGTTGAAAGAAGATATTTCAGCTGTGAAATTTTATACTGGTTATCCTAACTTTTCTTCTTTGCTGGCATGTTTTGAATATTTTGAACCGAAGTTAAACCAGATGCATTACTGGCATGGAAACTCTTCTGGAAATTCTCAGAAATCTGATCGTGGCAAATCCAAACGTGGCCGCAAATGTTCCCTTACACACCTTGAAGAGTTCATCCTTGTTTTAATGAGACTAAAAGTTGGTTTGTTTGTTACTGATTTGGCTGATCGATTCAGAGTTTCATCTGCTTGTGTTTCTCGGATCTTTACTACTTGGATATGTTTCCTTTATCATGAATTGCCGATCTTATTTCCCTTTCCATCTCAAGAACTTGTTCGCCAACAAATGCCTGCACAGTTCAAAGATTTCCCAAACACAAGGATAATCATTGACTGCACAGAAATTTTTATAGAAGTTCCATCTTCTATGAAATCACAATCACAGACATGGTCTGAATATAAGCATCATAACACTTGAAAAGTTCTTGTTGGCATTTCACCTGCTGGATGCATCACATTTGTTTCCAAACTGTGGTCTGGCAAAGTTTCTGATAAAGAAATCACAAAAAATCAGGTGTCTTGGCTTTATTGGAGAATGGAGATAATATAATGGCAGATCGTGGCTTTGACATCAAAGACATTGTACCTCCTGGTGTTAGCTTCAATATCCCACCATTTAGGGGGACAAGAGCACAGCTCACTGCACAGGAAGTTGAAGATACATATTGAAAGGGCCATTGGTCGAGTCAAGAATTATAATATACTTGATGGTGTTTTACCTTTGTCTTTATCTCCTGTGGCTGATCAGATATTCACTGTTTGTTGTTTATTGACAAACTTTTTACCTTTTTTAGTTAATCTTAAAGATAGATGAATATGAAATAAAAGGAATTGTAACCTAGAGAAAATACTATTATCATGTCAATATAAAACATTTTTTATGTGAATTAATTATTAAAAGCATCTATTTTGAAGAAAGTAATTTACAATGATAAACGTTTATATGTCTAGCTGACTCCTGTCATCTTGAATACTGGCTATCTTTAACAACAAATAAGCCATGTTGGAAAACTTACTGGGTGTTTTTGGCAGTTATTGAGAGTTATGCTATCTTATTCAATAAGGAATCTTGAGAGAACTTTTTTTTGTTCATTGCTGGTATTTGTAAGCTATACAGGGCCCTTCAAGCCACAAAAAAATTGTTTTTGGGGTGTGACCCCAAATGGCCAAAGTAACCACCTTCTACAGGTATACATAATATGATGACATATTCATATATAAAGACATGGGTTTATATACATGTACGTAAAATAAATTGATAATCAAAGAGGTTGTGCGCGTTGTACATAAAAGATGAAATTAAGTCACAATGTAACATGTTGTCATGATATATTATATTTTGGTAAATTTGATAAATGCATTTTGCTTTTTTCAACTCAAGCTCACGAGGAAAGAAACTTCTGATTGGCATAGTCTGTTATTTGAAATGGCTGGCATTTGAATTGACAAGAGCAGAATGCATTTTTTCTAGTCACAACAAAACTCCTACAGTTATACCTATTTTTATATATATACTTCACTTTTTTCTTGTAATTATATAATATGATTTGTACCATTTGTGTTACTAATATTACTTTAATATTCTTTCTTGTATTTTCATCATTACTAATTAAAATTTGTCCAACCACCATGCAAATACAGTTTCAATCCTTGCTTTATGTGCTTTGTAAATGATTCCAGGAGAACTGCTCTACAGTTAAAGAACTCTAAGCGTGGTAACATGTAGCTTGCCACAAAATATACATCGAACCAATTTCAATTTCAAACAAACTTTCAATTTCTGTTCATCAAGAACTTTATCAGCAGGTGCCCTTGGACAGCTTTACCATTACTTTATGAAGGTTTTTCTTCATTGATGCTTTGACACGTACATCAATTTACGTGCCAGTGTGATTCTGGCTACGTAGGACACACCACCCAAAGATTGGAGGATAGAATAAAACAACATGTTCCGGCTAGTATTAGAAAAAAAACTCGTCCCCAAAGAGAACAGCCACCTCGGTCCTGCAGATCTAAAAGTACAACTAAAACCTGCGATCAAACAAGATAAGCCTTGACGCCCCCTGTCTTCTCTTTGTACCGCTGCAAAATTATTTTTAATTCGGCCACAGTGAGCGTAGCCAAATCTTCAAAGCATTCAACAGCCTTTCCTTTAGGCAGCAACTCCTTGAACGCATCCATAAATACTTCTTAAACTATAATCAAACGCTCAGAAACAGAATGAAAGATCTTTCGTAACAGATGGTGGTAGGCCGAACCGTTTGGAACAACCACTTTCTCGTTTTCGTTTTCTTGCCTCTCTTTCAGAAGCCATGTGACGTAATTTGGCAAAGGGTCTATTAGCAAGATCTTTACTTGGTGTTGTCTTCGTTTTAGCATTGAGACAGAAGGTGTTAGATTTGGAAGTCAAAAATTTGTTTCGATTGTAGGTCAAAAGGAAACTGGGACAAAGATTCTCAAAAGTATAAAGTTTTTTGTTTTGCAAAGCATCTGGATAAATCAACGACAGCAAATCATCAGAGGCAATAGAGAAGAGTGCAGCAGTGACAGTGTTCCTTTGGTCTATAGAGAAACATAAGTTGAAATATATAACATATGTTGGAGATGGTGATAATTTGTCTGATGGTGAGGTAGCAGATGCTTGCATGAAATAAAAAAGGCAGTGAATATTTAGTCACCAAGGAAGATTGAATTGGGCATATTCAAAAAAGAATAGCTCAAAGTTGAGAATGTACAAAAATAAGATGAAAGCAAGCAAACTTCCAGATGGCATGAGTGTTGGTGGGCGAGGGAGATTGACCGATGTTGCAATAGACTACAATGTTGCATACTCATTGCAAAACTAATATGGGTATGCAAATAAAGGCATTTTGAAGCTGACCCAAGATGCAGTATGGGCAATATATTATCATAGTATTGTTGGGGAAAAATGAAACATTAGAAATCCAACATAGATTTTGCCCAAAAAGCTCTCTTTCGTGGTGCAAATGGCAACAAACCAACAAAGCGAAACCAAAATGTACCATCAAAACAAATGTCTTCCTGCTGTGTTTCGGTCAGAGCTTTTTGAAAGGTTATCAAAAGAAGACCTTCTAAAACGTTGTTTATAAGGGTTAACTCAAGGATCGAAATGAGTCCCTCAATAATGTTTTGTGGTCATCAAGTAAATGCGAATACAAGATCGATGGCATGTGAATACAAGTAAGCCTTGTTGTTCTTACGTGTCTCTATATTACTTATTACAAATGATTCTGTGCTCATTTCGATGAAATTACACTAAAAACCGGCCGCTAGCATTTTCGGAATTGTAAATGAATAATTCTAGAAATCATTTCAAATGATTTTATGCTTATTTGGGTGTAATTACACTAAAAACCGGTTGCTTCAAGGAGTCGCTATACCCGCCCTGAACGTGTTTCTCTCAATGTTTTACCTCTTCGTAGTTTTGTGCTTAAAGGAGAACTGACACGCAAAAATAAGTTTGGCTAAAACGGTAGTTTGTGACAAGCAAATTCCGGGATCGAAAAATTTTTTTTAATCACAGTTACCGTTTTTCAAATACAGGCGTTTCAAGTTGAGAAACGACAATTGTTCCGACATCTTGAGACTCGAGGCGAAAATCGTCACGAGTGGGCGATCATCTTTGACGTCACAAGTGACATGTTCTCAGCACGTATTGTGTTTCTCTATAGAAACCTTTAACAAAATGCTGCGGACAAATGTTTATCTTGTGCATGTGAAAGGAGCTAATTTTGCATTTTTGACACATAATTGACTTTTTCAATGGTTTGGGACTCGGAATCGGAGTTTTATTACACTGATTTCGAAACAAATGGAGAGTTTCAGCCGTCTGAATTTTTGCTACCAACCAGCGCTGCCGCTTGGGCAGACAGTTGTCCCATGGCTCAACAGTGACGATGTTATGAACAAAGAACAGACTGAGACTGGAAGTACAAACTGATATGGAATTTCTATTAAACACAATGCTATTGCTACAATCTAAATGAGATCAGGTATCGTAAAACTAGAATTTCATTTCAGATTGAGGGGTCTTTGTCCAGACTGCTTTGTCTGTATGGCCTAATTCGCTAAAATGCCTATGATGCCCTAAACGGAACTGCAAGTTATTCATTATCAATATAGCATTCTATGATTGTTTTTCCATGTTTCAAACTCGTTTACTGTATCGTGATATTAAATAGTAAAGGCGGGTTGAAAGTCGCACTTGTGCGGATTATATGCCATTTTCACCGGACGTGAAGGTTTCGGGAACTGATAAGTAACCTGGCAGTCGAAAAATCTGGATTTACGAAATAGGCTCTTAGCTATTAGCCAAAGAACTTGATTTCTTAGTCGAAAAAATGCTGTTTAGTTGTCATAGGAATATCCACTGGCGCATTATCTTCTTTTGCAAACAATTTTGACTTGGGTGGGGGATGGTCTTTTTCTAGACTAGATTATTCCCTAGTATCTCAACCTCTGTTAAAATACAATAATCAAGATCAGTGAAATTATTATTTAGTCACACTTGCAGCTCCCATCAAACAAGGTTTTTTCTTGAATTCATATTTCTGCACCCTAAGCAGGTTGCAGGATCGCTTTTACCGCTGTCTCCACTAGATTTCGTTTGTCTTTTGTCTATTGCTTCAACCCCCCCCCACCCCCATATTGCGGTTTTATTTGTAATTGTAAAAATAAAAACTTTGAAGAAACGGTATCAGTTTTCAAACAAAGTCGATTCCTTTTTTCACAAGCTTTGAGGTTCTTTGAATGTTTCGGAGCATGCTGCTTCGAAGATATCATGGCATAAAAATAAATTTTATGTGGATATTAGCGTCTTATCAGATATGTAGCTAGGATTTTCTAGCTTCTTTATACTTATAAATGAAATGCCTGACAATTTTTTGTCTTTTTATCGCATACTTTTTTCAATAAAACACGAAACTTCATTTGTACTTTCACCGTTGCGGTCAAAGCCTTTACAACGGCATTGTTAACATGTCACTTGTGACGTCAACCGAGAATTTTAACAACTCCTGGCGATAATCTTGTTTTCGCTTCGGGAAATTCCCGAGTCCTGGCTGTGACGTAATTGACGGATAAAAGTGCAAATATCAGAAAAACGGCGAATCTTAGAAGAAAACTTTTTGCAGATTTGAAGTCAGCGACAAATTTTGCATCGAATAAGCCAAAGTTATTTTTGCGTGTCAGTTCTCCTTTAAAGGAAAATGGATTTGCTGTGTTGCTCGATTAACAAGAACAATTTCAAATGGTTTTATGCTTAATTTGATGAAATTACACTAAAAACCGGTCGCTTACTGCTAGCCCCCGCCACGAACAGCGAATTTTTACCTCTTCTCATGGTTTTGTGCTGAATAGAAGCTGGATTGTTACGGTAGATTGTGCCTGCATCATGTTTGGAATTGTGAATGAATCATTCTAGAAACCATTTCAAATGACTTTATGCGTATTTGGGCAAAATTACACTAAAAAGCGGTTGCTAAAAGGAGTTGCTAGACCTGCCACGAACGTGTAAAAAAATATGGATTGGCTGTATTGCCCTCTAATAATAAAATTTCAAATGAATTGCGCTTATTTCGACGAAATTACACTAAAAACTGTTCGCTTAAAGCGGTGACTAAACTCTCGGGGCGAGTGTTTTATCGACTTCCTTAAAAATTTGCTTTCATTAATCATGGAAAAACATCTTCATTATTGTTTTTGTTCTTCATCTAGATCAAAGAGCGTTTGCAGCAATAATTAGGACACAGATGTGATTCTTGGACCTTCGAAACAAAATTGTTGGCATTAATGCTGGCGTTAATTCGAACAAAGAAACAAGAGGAGAAAATGACTAAATCTATGAAAATTAGCTCTTGTTCATAAATTGTATTTTGTTAATTTGTTGTTGGACGAAACTTTGGCTGTCTTCTATCTTTCAATTTCTTAAGTGCTTTGTTGCTGCAGTGTTTCAAAAGCTGATGAAGATAAGATACCAGAGCCTTAAATGAAATGTCTGTGAAATTACTTCAATTCTTTGGAGTTTAGATCAGAAAATGGTTAAATTTTTTATGAATCAACATACTTTTCAGAAATTTTTATTCTCAAGAAATTTTCAGATGACATTTATCTAAACGAGCACCATGGACCAATAACGGCTAACAGGAATATTTTGTTGGAAATCTTTAATGTTTGATGCAGAATAAACAGAGAGCTTTGAGCGTGGCCTGCAATTATGTCTTAAAAGAGCATCACAAGCGAACAAAGATTGAACGAAGTCTTTTAAAATGAACAGTACAGCTTTAAAAATAGCCTTAGGAAATGTTTATAAGCTCCCCATAAGTCGACAAGGGCTAAGGGTATATGACTAGAAAATTTTAAAATTGTTGGAAAACTTTAAAATTTTATTCTGACTAAAATGGAGAACTTTTAGGAACAACCCACGAAATTGTGTCAATGAGGATTACTAATTGGTGGGGGCTGGCAGAAGCATGTGTACATTTCAATAAACGGATAACTAGCCTCCAGTAAATCCGGTGACACGAGCCTTGAATGAACCTGGGCTTGCAAATGTTTTTAAGCAACTTCCAACCCTGCCTCTACATGACAAAAGTAATGTATCAAATTGATAGCATGCAAATTTTTATTAATGGAAGATTAGCTCCACCACGAAGACTGCTACGCGGGCTTGCCAGTGGCCCTACGGTAGAGTATGGAGATTAGCCTTGGAAAAGGCAAGAGGTGTATTACCCAAATTCGAAAAAAATTGGCTCTGCACAGGTCACGTGATAAAAGATTACTCCCACTCCTGTTACTATCGCTAGGAAGGGGGGAGCCTCTAGCCCTTCTCTATCTCAGGCAACCCCTGACTAGCGATCCTCAACAAAACGTTCAATGACTCCAAAAATCGCTGAGGTGAATTACGATATCTGACCATGCTTTTGGATTATTCCACACCAGATGAAAAGCCTTGACAGCAGCTCCAACTTAAAATGTGATGCGCGTGTATGATATGTTGGATTTCTTTGCTGGTTGTCTCGATTTATAGAATATTTCGAGTATCGTGGAGTATTCAGTAATTGGGGTAGAAATCGGAAGCAAGTATGTCATCAGTGTTGCTTTGCTATGAGCCCGTTGAAAAAAAAGTGTACGATCCACCTACAAACCTAGAGTTTTTCTTGTTGGCTGAGTTTATATATCGCATAGATTTCCATAAAAGCAGCAGCTTTGCAGATAACATCTCAGCATTGGAAGGAGCTGGTCTGGCCTGTGCTTCAACAAATGACAGTGGTTCTGCTTTTGAGTTGAAATTGACTCGCTTGAGCGCATTCTTTTTAGGGAGCTGGATTGACCTTTGCTTTGTATTCTGCTTATATTTTCTCGTCTCATAACTGCTCAGTGGCGGCTCTTGCTAATGGGCATCTGGGGCAATGCCCCCTCAGAAAGATTCAAAGGAAATCTATGATATTCATATTTAATTTTGAAGATAGTCTTACTGTGGTTAATTATATAAGTTTGTATCTCTTCTAGAAAAACCTCCTTGATATCCCGTCTCGTCCTTAGCCTCGCTTCTGGCCCGCTAGTGCCTTGAGCGATGATGTCATTTTACGGGCAAAGTTTTTTTTGCCCCTAGCCGACATGCGCACAAGCTAATTTTCGACCTCAAGCATTGCGAAACGGGGCCTGTGATTGGCTTATTTGGAGGAATTCGGGGCAAGAAAAATTTTGCCCATAAAATGACATCATCGCTAAACAACAACCACATCTATATGTGCTTTTTCTTCTGCGCTCCATGACGATCAACATCGAACCATGAATACAGTGAAAAATTTGCAAACTCTACCTTTCTATCAATTATCGCAATATTGATGGTCTGCCCTCCCACCTGTATAAGTCACGAGCCGCCACTGTAACTGCTGCAGGGAAGTCCTCTTGAAATGCTATGCCTGGTGTATTGTGAATGGGGCCAGCATCCGATGTTGTGTCGATATTGCAATCAGAATTATCCAACCAAAATATTGTTGAAACCTGAAAAGATTAAATATTTCATTGAAAATTTGATTTTTGAGACTTTATGTACTTCAATGGGATGAAGCATATATGTAAGCATATCAAGAAAGTAAACAATTTTATATGTTAAACAAAGATTTGCATGTCTTTCTTAAGGCTCTAAATTCCATGAATTGTAGTATATACAATAATAATTGGTAGAGGAGTTGTAGCAGTTACACAATTATATTTAAACACACAAAAGAGAAAGAGTATTTAAATTAGATTGTTCTTTCTTCAGACATGCTGCAGAAGAAAACATGGTCATCCTCTCATCAGCCTTCTTGGTGGCCTGAAAGCTTAGAGTTTAAATCCCCCAACAAAAGACCACACTTTTCAGTAGAAGAACTACAATGCCTGCCAAAAGTACTTGGAACACCCACCAATTTACGCTGCATTTGATATCTTTCATTCCTTTCATGAAAAAAATTTGCTACTTCCGCCCCCTTCCCCCTCAAACAATGTTGATGATTTAGAGAAATATCATAAAAGAAGCGCAAAAGAAAGTGCTTCCTAAAATCCTAATCCGTTTGATAGTAAACCAACATTGTTCCGTGGGGAGAGGGGGATGATTGGTTTTGACCTTGGAAATTGATGTCAGTGTTCCAAGACTTTTGGCAGGCATTGTCTGAAAATTTTCTCGAAAACAGCAATCTGCGATATCAAAACATTGTGCTACCCTAGGGTTTTCGATGGTGCTGATCTCACTGCTACTAATTAAAATTCGAAATTTTCACTCTTTACACAGTTAAAAGGGGGGGAGGGGGTTGGGACTCTGAACGATTGATATAGTAGATATCCGAGTATTGTTATTTGTTACAAAAAACATTCTACTGATTTTTTCCGTCAATATCATTTAAATCATTATTGAAAACAAGTATTTTGTGCAGAATTCGATCATCGGTTTAAGAAATTTATCAATTTTCAAAGGAAAAACAGTACAGTTTAGTACCTTTGAAAAAGTGTTTTTTTCTGAAAAGTCCCCTTATTTATGGTTTAATTATTGATGAAAAAACAAAAAAATTCATGAGAATGTCTACAAACCATACATGATCTAAATAATTGCGAACAACATGCTGGTGAGAAACTGTTCAAATGGCTCAATTTTATCCACCATAACCCTCCCAAAACCATCTACGAATTTAATAAATTTGCTTAGGCTATGCTCCTTCGCATTCACATGTGGCAACATGGTAGCGCTCATAGACACCCCATTCCCTATTATTTTCTATCTTCCCTTGTCCCAGTAATTGGAAAATGGTTGTGCCAATTATAATTGTTCGTTTTCCATTGTTAAAGTATGCTAGGAATTGAAAGAACGCTCCTTTCCTAATGGGCACGTGATGTAGTATGAAAATGCCTATTGCCAATGGTTACCAACGGTCTACAGCCACGGTCTACACATTTAAAATGTTTATAAAAATCGTATTTTTCAAAGAAAGTAGACGAAACCTCGTCAGTAGGTGTGCATGGCTAGTATAAAAAATATTGTAGGTTTTCAGATCGATACAAGTTGTAAAACTGAAGAAATTCAGGAAAGTGTCAACGGTCTACACTCTCTGAGAATTGAATTTGAAGTACTCTAGATCTTATTCTCCTTTTGAGTGTAGACCGTGGGATTTTCGTCATATTTTGCCCTTTTCTTCATGGAATTCATACAAAGGTTAATTTTATCTTTGAGGGGTATTATTATACACCTTTTGGGTGATTTTGGGGGCAAACCTCCCCCTGACAAGTCAGAAAATTGCGAAGAAACAGCCACGGTCTACACAACGGTCTACAAGCGTTCATTTCCGAGGGTGAGAGTTGCCTTGCGGGGCCTTGTCCTTCACATCGACGCGCGCTACATTCGATGAAATAAGATATTTTGTTATGGCAAATGTCAAGCAAACATATACAGCAATCAATTAACGATGAAATAATCTGCCTTGCGCTTTATGAAGATAAATATAGCAGGTAGAGTCTAACTTAAAGGCCATTTTGGCAATGCAGTAACAGTAGGGGAGAGGGCTTTCTTTGTAGTGCTTCTGGGCCAAGCATTTAGGAGCGCAGGAAGGCGAGTGGATGTCAGTTTTATTTCAGTTCCCTTACCAACCAACATGGAATAGTATATCAATCAGTTGGGAACTCTGATGTGGGAAACACGGGGTTCCTTTCTACAATTTAGGTAAACACTCTGAAATTTGTCATTTGGGCACTGAATTGCACAACAAGGGCCTATATGAATGGCAACTTGTAAATCCGTGATAAAAGGAGAGCAACTACCCGACATAATTCTCAAATACGACCTTATCTATAATTAGAAACATGAAACAGAGGAATCGATGTCACTTTTATAAAATTGCATCCTTTCCATTTTTAGATTATTTTCTAGCTGCCACTCATATTTGTCTCCTTCATCTATCCCATTATTTCTTAGACAGCCATCTGGCTACGAGCCTTTGAAAAGATTCAAAATACAATCTTGATCCTATTTATTGGAAATCGATTTTGATTTTAGCAATTTTCACCTTAATTGAAATATGGCATTTAGTTTTATGGGGGTAGCTTACCCCCACCCCCGAAAAAAGACAATACCCCCATATCTCCTTATCGGTAACACGTACGATGTTGAAAATGGCAGAAATGGAATCAGCACCATCAAAAACCTATAGGAGGATATTGGTTTTGGTGGTATATCTAATAAGCTTCAAAATGAAATTCAGACAATGCCTGCCAAAAGTACTTGGAACACCCACCAATTTACGCTGCATTTGATATCTTTCATTCCTTTCATGAAAAAAATTTGCTACTTCCGCCCCCTTCCCCCTCAAACAATGTTGATGATTTAGAGAAATATCATAAAAGAAGCGCAAAAGAAAGTGCTTCCTAAAATCCTAATCCGTTTGATAGTAAACCAACATTGTTCCGTGGGGGAGAGGGGGATGATTGGTTTTGACCTTGGAAATTGATGTCTGTGTTCCAAGACTTTTGGCAGGCATTGTAGATAAAATTGTAGACTCCTGGAAAAGTTTTTGAAATCAGAGCAGGAAGATAGTATAGATGAAAGTGAAGTTGGGGCAGAGGAGATGCACAGAGAGAGTTGAACAAAAGCTCAAAAGACTATGAAGGTCGCATGAATGAAGGTAACACCAGTGAGGTGTTCAATGAAGTACAGAACAATAAAGAAGAACAGAACAGGCTCTAATGTTTCTGCACATATGCGCAAGATTAAGGATGACTTTCAGGTAAGTACCTTCAGTATTTATATTTTGAGTACCTTCAGTATTTTTATGAAGCCCTCTTAGGTTCCTGATCTTGTAATTGATTAAAGTATGCTAAAAGCTATTCTGTTTTCAATTATTTTACTTATAGAATATTACATGAGATCTGGCCACTGCAGAATCTTTCTTAAAGGCAGTGTCACACCTCAAAAGTTTTGAAGAAATGGAAGATGCTTTGAACATTTGCCCTGACAATATTCTTGAGATACAAGAGAATAGTGTCAGATCATCTAACATTGTAGAATGGTGAGTAAAGATTTCAACTTTGATGTTCAATTGAAATTTTTTATTTCCTTTTTGAATGATTTTAAATTGAAAAATATTTTTCATTCTTCATCATGATGAAATTTTAATGAAAATTCCTTGTTGTGATGAATTCGAATTGAAAGCATTGACATGATTCAATTGAAACAATATACTCCCATCCTTGTTTAAATTCCTTCAACTGGATAACTTTCTTGTTTAGATTAATCTGAATGAAACAATTTAATTGATTTCTTGTTTAAATGCATTCTACTATTTAATTTGTTTGATCTATACAAATAAATCACTGCATGTTTATTTTTCAACCAGGTCATTCGTCATTTAATTCCCTTGGAGTTTGCTACCACAGGTGTATACGTGTTGCTGGTGATGGCAATTGCCTTCATCGTTCTGTATACTGTTCATTGTATGGCACTTAGGACAATTGGTCTTGGCTGAAAAATTTAGCCTTGAAATATGGGATCAGGAATATAGACAATGTTCTTTAGGAGGTAAATGCTATCAAAATGCATGTTTACATTTTTTTGTTCAGATCATGAAAAGAGAACTTTTCAAAGAAGAAAGAAGTCAAGAGTTAAAAAAAGGGAACATAGAAAAGAAAGATATTTAGGTTCATTGTTTGTAAATTTTTATTTGTTTTTGCTATCTAGCATCTGAAGTTAGTTTTAAGAATTGAGAAAAGCTGAATCCATGAAGACTTTTCCTGTTTTTTTAGTTTGACAAAGTTAATGAAAGTAGAGCAAATTTGGCTTACGTGATCACAACTGATGATGTTCCAATTTTTTTTGTTACTCCAGATTGGTTGTTACTCCAGATAGGCTTTAGGAGTTAACAATTGAAGATTTGCACCTATGTGTGAAAACATACCTGATGATAGAGAGCACATTTGTGTCACCATTAAACATGTGTTGGTTAAAACAAGAAGGGACAAATATTTCACATTTGTTTGACATTCTTTATTCGTATTTGTTTGTCATATTTAAATAATGTAATAAAAACATAACTTTTCGGCAAATTAATTTTAATCTTGTCTTATAATCTAGGGAACAATTGGTCTTTTTTATTAGTAATTGTTATTACAGCAATTCTTCAGGTTTCTTGATGTTTTCTTGGGTGACCAATGTTGTGAAAAATTTGGCTCCATAGCTATTGTCTGGAAGATTTGGAAGTGGATGAAACTGGGTAGGAGTGCTTTTGCTATTTGAAAGCCGAAACACTGTCCAGGTAAGCATTATCACTATTGAATTCTCACTAAACCTCTATGCTAGAATTGGTTGATGTAAATATATGTCATTCAATAAATTAAGGCTAACTGAATATACTTTTGACCACACATGTTTCACTCAGTTTCTCGTGCTTTTTTATGTTAGAATCAAACTCTAGGTTAACAATCAAAGTTACGATCAATGAAATGAGTGTAGCTTTTATGTATCTGAGGCAAATTTTTATTCGTGGCTCCCAAAGAAAGCAGTGCAACAATTTACATAATTTAGATATTTACAGAAACTTTGATAAGCAGTTAAATAAATGTGAGAATTATCCAGAATTTACCTCTTGAAATTTTAGCTTGTTCACTTTTTGGTGAAAGAGGGAATTGCCAATTTTTTGCGGAGAAATCAAAAAAGGAATCTTGGTAACTAACTAATGTTCATTACTAATAACCAACATAGTTTTTAGGCAAAATCTGTCCCATTCAAATTATATAAACTTAAAGCGGTCTACATAGATACAAAATAATAATGAATTGTGATGAATATTAAAAGACTATCAATGCAATGCGTTAATTGGAATGTAGATGCAAATGTACTTACAAATAAATGTCCCCATAAAGATGTTAATTGATAGCTTCACAGTTAATTTGTCTTTTATCAAAACCCTTGTATCTTGAACAGTTAGTTGTCAGATTGAAAAAAATGTGCCTTTGCTCTTTTGTGAAATAATTAAGTGCCTTTTACAAGCAGGAACATCCATTCCTTTGGAAAATGTTTTTAAAATAAATTAATTTTATCCTAGAAATATTTAGCAGATATTACAAAAGGGAGGATATTCTTTCCCAGAGATTTTGGGAACTCTTTGTGGCTTCCTGGCTTTGTGACTTTTTTTCATACGACTACCTCTGACCATAACAGCACTCCTCTGGGAAGATGTTTTAGGAGACTATGTTGTACGTGAAACTGCAAGCTTTCCAAGTATGCCAACCTATCTTTTTTCGGAAAAGAAGTACGCATGAGTCTTAGAGACTTGACAGTCTCTTTAAGCAATCTTGATCTATCTTTTTCGGACAGGACTACCCTGAATACAAATGTTCTGATTTTGGAGGTGAAAAAGACTTGTATTGTCAAACTCAAATTTTATATTTTTTTGGGCTAATAATGGCTTTGAATGTTCTGCGAATGGTTTCCATTAACAATTGGAATTCCAGTTGATTATTGATTCCAAAAAGCTGCCTCGCTGATGCTTTGAATGCCAATTTTTATCCTTTTCAGTGTTTCACATACCTGGGAATTTCAGTACCTGATTTGGGCAAATAATGCCACCCCGCCTTAACAAAGTATTGAATAAATATTTCCATCTTGTTGTTTATTTTTAGTTCATCGCTTATTGCATCCACAAAGAGGAAAATATACCCCTCTTTCGAGGTCGGGTGATGACTGGAAAACCTTAAAGATTTTAGTTTTTGATCTCATTCATTTTAACAGACGCAGTGAAGCGTTGAAAAGAGCATTAAAAGTTGAATTTATGATGGCATCAAAAGTTGAGTTACAGATCACCATCTTAAAGTGTCATCAAAAATTTTCCGTATACTTTCATGAAATGCAAGTTGTTATGAAAATACATGTTATATGTCAAATGTAAAATCAATGTAAAATGTAAAATGAATGTAAAATGTAAATTGAAGCTAGAAATTTTGTATAATATGTTTTCATTGCTAATAAACAGGGATTTCTTGTTATAACTAGAAAACGCACCTAAATTTCAAATGTCTTTTTTATACCCTTTCAGAATTTTTCATTTATAAGTATCCTCTTGGAAATAAGTAGGTAAATCCGGTCTTCTTTTGATTAACTACCAAATAACTCTATCGATTTAATCTTAAAAACGAAGATATTAAAAAGGTGGCTTTATACGAAAAAAATGTATTTTAGACAATTTTTTATTCTATAACTTTTAGAACAATTGATGATTGGAGAATGCACTACCAAAACTGATATGTTGCTTCGCAGCCTCTAGAGGTGTGAAATTGACCTATTTCTAGGTGGTGGTGGTGATTCTGTCCCTTAGAAACCGCACAGCAACGGCTTAGGGGCAACTTTTTGTTAATTCTATTTGCAAGATTAGCCTCTAATTATTAGCATCTAATCATAGAATTTTTTTGTACTATCTTTGGTTACCGAGGAGGAGCTTATTCCTCTATCTTGTACCCCTGTGAAAGCTCAAAATTAAGTTAGGTCCAAAGTGCATGTATGGGAAGTGTAGCAACCAAACAAATTTTGAAAATGGGAAACAAACGAAACAGATCACGCCAAAAAAACAAAAAGGAAGAGTAATTAATGTTCGAAACAAGCAAAAATCTTTATCGATGAATGCAAGAGAGGAGACTCATGAAAGCAATGAAGAAAACAGTCCTGATTCTCCGCCCTTAAAGAAAAATAGGCCTGCTCAGCAAAAAGCTGGAAAGATGGAGAAAACTGTTTGTAGTTTGTATAGTAAAAAGTTGCAGCATAGCTTGGAATGTCAGGCAGAAAAAGGTGATGATTAAAACTAAATCATAAAGTTTTAAGTTTTAAAGGACCTGATTACAATGATAGGTTGCTGTCCACCATGTAAGAGTTCTAACATTGACATGGAAAATGTTTTTAACCTACAAATGGGTTTTCAGTCCACCTTGCAGGTACATTGCTCTCAATGTACTTACAAATATGCATTTTCCACTTCAAAACAGTTCTATCAAGCTGGCAGAGGCTCTTAAGGACGTCAGATGTCTGAAATTAATGTCCGAACATCTGTTGCATTTCTTGAAATTGGATGTGGCCACAAAGCCATTCAAAATTTCAGCAGGATTATGAACATGCAGTCATTTTTATTTGGGGCTTTTGTCAGAATAAATGATTCATTGTATGAGACCTATGAAACAGCAGCACAAGAGAGCATAAAAAAAGCAGGTGAAGAAGTGTTTTCAGAATGTAAAGAAAAGATTAATGATGGAAGAATAGGACTAACACCATGCTCATTGGTCGGTACCTGGCAAAAGATAGGACACAATTCTGTGGGTGTTTGCTGAAGGAAAATGCATTGACTTCAATGTACTATCAAAGTATTGCAAGGGCTGTGCACTATGGGAACAGAGGAAAGAAAGTCCACTTTACTTGAAATGGAAAGAAAACCGCAATTGCCAGGCAAATCATTTCAAATCCTCAGGAGCAATAGAAGCTAAAGGTGCAATGGGAATATTTTCTACATCAGTGGACAAACACTCATTGATTTATGAAAAAATTTTAGGAGATGGTGATTCATCTACATTTAAAGAAGTGTTCCAGTCAAATCCATACAAAGATTACAGTGTGCAAGTTTATAAAATGGAATGTGTTGGGCATGTACAAAAACGCCTTGGCACCAGACTTCAAAATATAAGGGAGGTCTTTAAGAAAACAAAACCATCTCATTCAGGAAGAGGAAAGCTGACTGATTAAGTCATAAACTCCATGCAGAATTTCTATGGAATGGCTATTCGTGAGCACAGGGGAGAGCTTTACCACATGAAGAAAGCTGTAGGAGCTATACTATGGCATTGTACAGACTTTGCTGATGAAGAATACCGCCCTAGATTCTGCCCTGGTGGAGATAAGAGCTGGTGCAAATGGGGGAAACATCAATCAGCCAAGGATGCAAAGAAACAGAGAACAAAAATCAATTTACCAAAGTGGACTCACGACATTATTAAACCAATTTTTGAGGATCTAAGCAGAGATGAACTGTTGTCAAAGTGTCTCAACGGGCAGAATCAGAATGCAATTGAGTCTTTGAACAATATGATTTGGCTTCAATGTCCAAAGAGAGTTTTTGTTAAGAGCTCTTGAGATAGGTGGCAATGCTGCAGTATTAGATTTTAATAAAGGAGCATATGGTATCAGTAAGGTACTAAAGCAGTATTGCATTGGCATTGGGGTATTTATGCTGGATGGCTCTGATAAAAACAACAAGGCGAGAGTTCAATCAATAGAAAGAAAGGCGATGGAAAAGACAAGGAAGAGGAGGAAACATTTTTTAGCTAAAGATAAGATAAATTCCTATTGGCATATAAGGCAAAATCTGAAAGCTTTAATTTGATCGTGCCTTTTCTAAACTTTTTATTTTCTATGCATCTTTGTTCTTGATCAGTACTATCAATTCAATCTAAAGGTCTTCCACAATCTGAGATGTGAAACGAGCAAAGCAAAGTTTTCGCCGAATGCAATGCCACGAGATCAGATCAATCAGCTTGTACGCACACAATTTTAATTTTAAGCTGTCTTTTGAAAATGATCAAGCAGCTCAGATTTACCTTCTCTTTAAAGGCATACATAAAACTAAAGAGAATAGAGTTTCGCGCATTTAATCGATCCTTATACAATGAATTATACTTCTAGGCATTTCAGGCATCACAGTACCTTGCAGACCTTGCTCAGCTTTCAAGGCTTAGTTGGAATGCGTTTTTTGAACGAACTTCAGTGGTTACCAGTGGTTACTACGTTTTACCTTGTATTCTCTTATTCTTCTCTCATTTGAAATCTATTTTGACTTTTATCATAAAAGTACATATGAATTTAAAAAGTTGATAATCATCTTTTGGAAGATCCTGTTTATACAAGGCCTTTGCAAACATTGCTTGTTTCCAATGTACGCAAAGTAAATCTGAGTAAACTAAGTACCCTCTTCCTGTTTAGATGTGCAAATAGTATGGAGTACCCTAAGGGTATGATTCCTGTTTTGGCAACAGGTATTGGAGACTGCCTTTTTAATTCTGTGGGAAAGTTGCTTTTTGGCACAGAGGCAGTTACACCAATTTTGAGGCTTTTGTTCATAACTGGTGCCATTGGTCACGTAGATCATTATATAGAAGAGGTACAGTTTTTGCTGCTTAGATTGGAAATCTGTTTTGTATGTTGTTTTCTTGTAGAAGTTTTGTAATGAAATGTTGCACTATCTTTTGGCATCTTTGCGATTAAATATGCAAGATTAAAAAAATAGAATTTGGGAGTCTGATTCTTAAGCGTCTTTCAGTATATGTCTTTCACCTTTGCTTTCTTCTCATTTCATTGTTGATACTTGTTTGGCAGGTTTTGTCATTCTGTTGTTTGGCAGGTTTTATAATACCAAAATATTTGGAAACTCGCTGATTTCATGGCCTACGTTTTTTTATATTTAGTACAGGTCTCGTTACAACACAAAAGATTGTGCTTACGAGATGCTGTATGTAATGTCAACTCAGGAAGTTTTTGAAAAAAGACCTGTCATGGAAAGTACCAGTGTGACCGACATTATCAGGTTTGCTGTCATTAGCGAGATTACAGAGCTATCTAAAAAGGATGCCTATGCAGGTAAGAAGATTACCATTATGAATTTATATGATTTTGCTTTGGTAGCACAATTAGAGAACCATTGGTTCCTGCTATTTTTGTAGATTTAACCCTTCAAAAATTGTTATCAATTGAGAAATCAACATTAAATCTCCTACAGTTTATCTTATGCATGGCGTCTACAGTTTTTCTCCTACATTCAATTGAGAAATCAACATTGAATCTTCTCCTTGTGCTCCATAACAGACCTTTAATGGAATAATGTTTGACTCTTCTTCAAAAAACCATTCTAGTCTTTGCGTCTATGCCAGTGTTTATCATTTAGGTCTTCTTCAAGTACGATACCTTGTAACAGCATTGTTTCGCGGGATAAATCTTTATTGCAACCATCCATTTTATCACGTATTTATGGCTCCGTGTCTTTGTGCGTGTCAAGACCTACTCAACCCAGTCAATCTTATGTTCATGTCAACAGCAAGCTCACTCTTCTCAAATCACCATGTTCTGTTGATTCAGAAATCAGGTAAAGATTGATAATATTCCAGAAAATAGTTAGAAAAAATACCATTTAATTCTCCCAGGGATTTAAAATTTGTTTGCGTGACATTTAATCGTAGATAACGGTGTGACATATATGTTTATCAAAAATTATAGGGGAGAGGAAGATGGCATTTGAGGTTCCAGCTGCAAGCCAAGAGAACATGTGTGCAGCATTGAAAAGACTTGACTGCATTGCTGTCGTTAAAGAGCGCCAAGAATGGGTGAGCTGCAGAAATTGTGGGCTCAGATATCATTCAGCTTGCAGCCGTCTTGGGAGGAAAGAGGAGAATTTGTTTGTTGCCTGGGCCTGCTTGTAAAAGAGCAGATAGAGAGGGACATTAACACAATACGACACCATTTTCCTGATATAGCTAGACAGGTTCCCTCTTCGCTCTTTCCTATACCTCTAAGTTTAGCAATTAACATTTCATTACTGAAGTTGAATTTTAGCAACATATTTACTTTTTCAAGTAGACTTCTGATAATGCACTTTGCAATTTCTACGACCCACATATCCTTACAATATTGACAATGAAAAATTGCTGCTTTAACAAACGAGCTCATGTAAGCTGGTTAAATTAAGTTATTGGCTTGGCTAATTCATATGATTTAACAAATGGATCAAAAAAAGGAATGCCCTATCTCAAACTCAAAATATTTTTTTCAACATAAAATTGATTAATTACAATATACCGGTTAACATAATTATACTAAATATACAATATCCAAGTTAATTTGGCTAAATAACAATGAATGGTCAACCGCAATATTTTATAGAACAGCAATGAGAATTAAAAAATTTTAGGCTGATGGACACATGGAAAGAACTTTGGGCAAGCTATCGAGCCATGTATCCAAATTGATGTGTTTAAAATGACGTTTTTAAGTTTGAATAATAACAGTAAGATATAACAAGAATAAAATAAAGTAGAACGAAATAAAAATAAGACTATGTGTAATATTGTAATAACAGCTAAGTGCAATTATAAAATAATCATAAATTAATGAAGCCTACAGATGTCAAATTTTGTTTATAAGAAAATATTTCATCTGTTTCGCAAAGTGGTGTTTATTATCCATCCTTTTTAACTCTATAGGTAGGGAGTTCCAAAATTTAATACCATCGAAAGTGAGAAAGTTTTTTTAAAGTTTGTGGAAATGGATGGAAGAGAAAAACCTTCAGAAGAAGATTGCAGTGTATTATAATTGTGTACATTTTTTGTTTTTACAAACTCGCCTTCAAGAGAACTTTTGTCAGAGCTATTTTGATATATCATTTTTGCTGTCTCAAGCAGGTAAAGTTTATCAAAGTTAAATATTTTGAGGCGTTTAAATATAGGTTCACTATGTGCAGTGAAGTTCGCAAAGTCAATTACTCTAACTGCTTTTCGTAAGTTACGTTTTAAAGGTTCCAGGGTAGTTTTATTAGCACAACCCCAATTTAATATACCATATAGTACATGTGATTGAATGAATGAGGAGTATAAAGTCTTGGTACCAGATGTCTCAATTTATATAGCACTCCGATTCCTTTTGATAATTTTAAATTTATTTGCTTTATATGCAATTTCCAGGTAAGCTTATTATCAATTATTACTCCAAGATATTTAGTGTAATTTTCTTGTTTGAGATCTCTGTTATTAATTTTTAATTTGATGTTTCTATCAGTTTTACGAGAGCTTATCAGCAAAAAGTTCGATTTAGATACATTTAGCGATAGCTTATTAGCCAATAACCACACAGATAAGATAACCTTTGTAACTCCGAATTGGTGGTTTGTTCTAGGATGTCAAGATTTTTGTTAGCCAATAAAATACTGGTGTCATCTGCAAATAGTCGAAACTGAAGAATTTGAGTAGATTTATAAATGTCATTTATATAAATCAAGAACAATAGTGGCCCAAGTACACTACCTTGTGGGACACCACAATTGATAGTAAGCTCATTTGCATTAACGCCATTCATTGCAACTATTTGGGTTCTTTTAGTTAAGTATGATTTAAACCACAAGTATGTAATACCTCTGAAACCATAATGTTCTAATTTTTCTAGCAAAATTTTCAAGTATTTGGTTGAAGATAGGTAAAATTGAGATAGGTCGATAGTTTACTTATTCTAACTTGGAATTACCTTTATGGGTAACTTTTGCAAATTTTAATTTTTCTGGAAAGGCACCAAGAGAAAAGGATGAATTGGCGATAAGTGCAAAAGGCCCTGAAATAGTCATACGGACCAATTTTATAAGTTTAGAGGGAATATCATACAAATCATTTGATTTGTTTTCATCTAGATTGGCAATGATGTCATTTACTTCTTCAGGTTGACGCATGTTGCATGTTGACATGGTTTTGTAAAGACTGTGTTGCAGATGCGTTACAGATTGACTTTTTTGTTTTAAGAAATTTTTTGTAATGTTTATTTTTAATCGAGATTGACTCCAAGATTCCTTTTGTTATCCAGGGTTTTAGTCTTTGTTTGTACATTTTTCGTGAAACCGGTTTTAATGGAGCATGTTTTTGCATATTATTAATTAGTATATCATGAAAAATGTTATATTGCTCGTCTGCGCCTTGAATTAAGTTTAATTTTTCATCCAAGTTTGATTGGCGCAAGTCATGTATATATGAATCTAGGTTAAAATTGTTATAGTCGCAATAAAAACCTCTGTTTTTACTTTTTGATTTTAGGTTGATACTTTTGCAAAATATAAAGTTTGGTAAATGATCACAGATTTTTGTTATTAAATTTCCACTTAGTTTTTCATGTTCTATTGAATTTAAAAAAATATTGTCAATCAATGATGGTTTATTACTATTGATAATTCTAGTGGGCTGGAGTATATGTGGCTGGAAGAAGTTTGAAAGCATGAGATTTATAAACTTTTCGGTATATTCATCTCAATCAATGTTTAAAAGATTAATATTTAAATCTCCAGTAATAAAGACTGTCTTATTTTCCTTTCGAAGTTTACTAGAGATTATGTTTGTTAGATATTCTAGGAACTCAACATCATTTCTTTTCTTTGGGTGACGATAAATAATAGCAATCAAGAAGTTCTTATTGTTCTGAGATTTAATTTCGGTCCAGTTTGCTTCAAACTCACTACTATTATCTGAGTGAGAAATATTTAAGTCCTCTCGAGGATGAAAAGATAGTTCTTCAGATACAAAAAAGCCGCAGCCCCCTTTCATGCTTTTACCAGATGTTCCTGTGTATTTTTGATAACCTTCTAAGGTTAAATTTTCAGTATTTGATTCATTGTTATTGGTTATCCATGTTTCAGATAGAGCAATAATGTCAAATTTATGTTCTAATGAAGTAGTTAATAACTCTAAATTTTCAAAGTTTTTATTCAAAGAGCAAATATTTGTGTGCATCAGACTAAAAAAGGGTGAATGTTCAGGATTTAGTTTCCTAGTTAACTTATGAAATTCATGCGTTGTATAAAATTTGAAATTAGCATTTAAGTTTAAGTTTTGATCAGTATCGTTATCTGCATTCAGATGAAAATGATTAAGATAATGTTTATCTAGATTCAATTCTGTAATAGTTTCTAAACATTCGTAGTCTGTCAGGTCTTTTGTTACGTCATTACAAAGACATAGCTCATTAAAATTGAAGTTACTGGAAAGAATATCCTGAGCGTGAACAGAATTGAAAGGAAAAACATGGTAGCGACAGCTAGGGCAAAGCCATTGTTGTGCGTCAGCACCTAGATTTAAAATATCTTAACCTGTTAAACCAGAGCATTTCCTGATGTGAATATAGCTTTTTCAATATTATTAACACGTTTATCGCAAACAGAGCAGGATTTGTTAAAGTCAATAATCAAATGGTGTTGCTTCTTTTCTGCGGACTTCAGGGTCAAAAAACTGTGCTTTCATCCAGTCTGGCATTACACCGACATAGCTCTTTGATAAAAAATCAATGTTATTGTCAAGAACACTTTTCAAGTTCTCAAAGTTTGCTGGCTTTATATCATTGACTGGAAAGGTTGCATGGCTAATTGCTTCAACACTTGGGAATGACTTCAAAAGAATTGTTGCCATGTGGGTGACTTGTGATGTTGCAGAAGTAGTGGCACGTGGATTAGCATGGATATTATGGTAGTCATCTATAAAAATTACCACCATATGACCCTTTTCTGCTGCATTTTTAAAAAAATCATTCACGGTTTTGCTATGATTTGCAGCAATGCCTTCATTAGTATTAATTACTGTGCGTGGGTGTGCTGTAAAACCCATATTATGGAGGGTTTCCATACCCTTACTTGTAACCCCAAAGCCTCTTAGAGTCCTGGCAGTTGCCACTTGAAACCAATTAGCCCTTTGCGACTGACCATAGACAAGGCTGTATATAATTGAAACAGCTCTTTTTTCAATCAATTTTTTTCTTTCAGCTGTTTGTCTGGCAGTTGACATAGCTTCTACTATCGTTTCAAAAATTGTTGTTGCCCCTGCATCATTACAAAGCTTTTTAAATTGAGCTGGATCAGTGATTGATTCACCATTTTCACGAAACATTTGGAAACATTTTTCCTTTATTTTTGAGACTTGAGATTTCAAATTGATTCTAGCGTTACCAATTTCTTGTTGCTCAAAATTATCGTTTTTCTCCAGTGTCTCAAAATCATTGTATGTTTCTTGTGTGTTAGTTTCTTGTGTGTCAGTTTCTTGGGAGCTTAACATGAGTTTTTGGCTGGGGTTACTCAGTGTCTCCGTAATTTCTGAATCATTTTCTATGTCAGAGCTCTCTTTTTCATAATTTGGTGTCTCTTTCTTTTTCAAGATTTGCTTGAATTGGGCTGTTTCTTGATGCTGTAATAGTGTAATATTGTATATAACTTCCCTACAGTGGTACAAACTCTTTGCTAGTGCTATGTATTAATTTTTTAAATAAAAAAATGTACCTTATCAAAAAACCTGTTCTTTCTTTCAATTGAAATTTTCTCAAAACATTTATTACATTCCTCTAATCCTTTTTACACTTTTCTTTTGTAAGTTTCAAGTTTGAAAGTAATTACATCAGAAAAATCAATGTCTGTCAAATGTTTTGTTTGAGACTACTTAATTGTGAGAAGAGTTGCAAACAAAATAATATAACTTTAATTTCAAATCTTTTGTATTTCCAGATAAAGAAAATTACATAGCTAATTAAGAACAATTCCAAAAAAAATTCAGATATCAGTCATTGACAAATTACAAGGAGGTAAATATAATAATCTTGCATGATAAGTCCAGTGTAAATTAAATTTGGAATATCAAATCACAATTTTGCTACAAGGGCAACTTACCAGATACTTCGTAAATTCACGTTTTTTCTCGCAATTTTCAATGCAGAAAACGCAAACGTGTTTAATTTTGGTTTCTGAGTGGCCATTCGCCTTGGCTATCAATTTAAATGCCTGAAGCTTCGCATATGTCGGAACTTTGAATACCCTCAAATCCGCTTCGTTGACTGTACATTTGTGGCAGCACCACTGCTGATGCAGTGGGTTGCTGCACTTTCTTCGAAACCTTCCCATAATAGAGGATTTAAACGAGGTGGTAACAACGATAATAATTAGCGACAGTTAGAAAGCAATTTTCCCGCCAAAATATTGCTGATAACCGGGGGTAAAACAAATTAAATCATTAATTAATTATATATTCTTTTAAATTTTACAACAGAACATAAAATATATAACCAAAGACTGTAACTGAGTTTTTAATTTTCAATGTTGCTTTCCACCAAAGATATTCCATCTTGATTATATCAGAAGTCAGAAAGTCCAACGATTCCCGTACTAGGTTGCAGCAGCTGCTCGAAAGGCATCCACCAAAAAAGTTTTTCCTTGAAAATTAATCGCTATGCCATAAAAAGATGAGTTGCCTGTTAGCTAGGTATAAAACTGGCTTTTCGTCTAAACTTGCCGCCAATTTGTCGCAGAGACCAACTACCATCTCGAGTGGACTTCGTAATAACTAAGAGGCTTTCTAATTTGCATAATCACGCCACGATTAAGATTCCCTTCCCTCGCACTGGTGCCTTGGATTTGGGCAGTCCCTCAATTTCCGCATCAGAGGGCCGTATTTTTGATGGACTGTAAGGGTCATTAACACAAATGAAAAAAGACCCGTATTAGCTAAAGCACATTTGTAAAATTGATCGCAGAGACGAGATTTCTAGACCTATTACTTAAAATTTGGTCTTGTGGGAAGCTGGATAGAATGGGCCTAGCCCCCCCCCCCCGAGAGATAGGAAAAGTTCAACCTAAGATTTTAGGAATACTACGTCAAGTTAACTCAAAAGCAGCGGTAGTTTTTTAGTAAATTTAATAAACATTGTATATTTTTATTTTTCGCTGATTTTATTTAATGTATATTTTCGTGGCGGCCAAAAATTCCAGTAGTGGTTTCCCTCCACAGCTAAGGGTGTTTTCGTGACAAATGTAAACAAACCATGCAAGATTCGCGGGATCTGATTGGCTATCAAATTTGGTAAACAAAGCATCTTATTGGACAAAAACGAAATTCCGCTATGCTTGCCTGCTCAATTTAAAGATTTACCAACAACGAGATTAATAATTGATTGCACAGAAATATTTGCAGAGGTTCAATCATCTATGAAAGCACAGTAACAGACATGGTCCGAATACAAGCATCATAATACATGGAAAGTTTTAATTGGCATATCACCCTCTGGCCTAATTACCTTTGCCTCAAAGTTATGGTCTGGTAAGGTGTCTGATAAAGAAATCACTCTTAAGTCAGGTGTTCTAGCACTTCTTGAGGATGGTGATAACCTAATGGCAGACCGTGGCTTTTATGTCAAAGATATTCTTCCTCCTGGAGTGACTCTAAACATCCCACCTTTCAAGGGTACATGAGCACAACTGACAGCGAATGAGACAGAAGAATCTGCTCGCATTGCTTCTGTACCCTCTATATGTACAGTATACAATGATTTTATCTAAAGATCAAACACATACCAATACTTTTAAGCATACACAATGTTACATCTATGTATGTATAGTATACAATGATATCATGTAAAGATTAAATACATACCAATTCTTTAGAGCATACACAATGTTTACTTGAATACATATTTAACTTATAAAAACTTCTTAAAAGGCTTTAAGAAATTATTTTATTTATCATTATTATTATGTTTAGCCAACGATACTGAACATTATTACAAACAGGATATTATTTTGTGTGTGTATATCTTAATAATAACAAGAAATTATTTGAATTTATCAAAGTTTTTCCAATTTCCATGTAAATATAATTTGAATTCACGTTTCACTCGCTTAGTGAAAAATTCAGGAATAATTAGCATGTAGGATAAAACAAATTCTTCATCATATTGTATTGACTCTACAAACAATGATTCACTACAAGCAAACCGAACAACAAAATCAATACGTTTAAAAACAGCACAAAACATTTGGCCTTGAACTTGATAATAATAGTATTGATGTTTGCGCTTGATAGTGCCGCCATTATTCTCCAAGAAGAACTTCTTATCTTTGAGTGCATCCTGAAGAGAGATTTTGAACTTGGAGAATGGACATTTTATTTCCAAACCCCATCTTTCATTGTTAAAAGAAACCATCCCATCCAAAAATGCACCAAGAAAAGGAGAAGAAGAAGATAATTGGAGGCCAGTTTCAGAAACAATGACATTCGGGCCATGCTCTTTCATGTAGATTGTGTAGAGCTCAATGGCATGTCCTTCAAATTTCTTGCCATGGCTGGTTGCCAAGGTTGAGAAACACTTGCAAAACATGGATTTTGTTTTTGAAGATGGTTCAACAGTGTTTACGGCAGCAGTGTAGAAGATTGAGGCTGTTAGTCGATAAAGGCGATACTCTATCCAATTGCTGTTGGAGGATTGACCACGGGTCACCTTCTCAATGTCAGAAATTTTTTTCAGCAGACAAAGATAGGCTATGACAATAAATGTTCATCATATCTTTAGAAGATTGTTTGGAGATATCGTAGCACTCATTGAAAGAGACTGCTTTGGCTAAAGATGGATCTTGAGTATCAGTTCCACTGGTGAAAGCACTGTCACTTGAAGAAGGAAGATCAGATTCTGAAGCTGGATAAAAACCTAAAGAATCCGCTATTTGGCATGAATTTTATTAATTTTGATTTTGAAATTTCAAGATCATTAATGGTCACGGTTCAATGGCTGGTAATGCGAATAACCAAATATTCATGGAGCTGCAGAAAAGTGAAATGGGGTGTTCCACATAAGTCAGCTATCCAAGGAAGATGCTTGCACTGATCATAAATAGCCTCAAATGTGAAATCATTTTCGTGACAAAGTAAGGAGGACTCATCTGAAATGTCATTGGATTGAGAATTGAAATTCTTTGCATGACAAAAGACAGCATATGCACGAAGAATAAGGTCGGCTTTGACACCGGAAGTTTTCTCCCTGTATTGTACAAGAAAATGCTTCAATTCTTTAATAGTCAGTGCGCCAAGATCTTCTAAACAATCAACTTTCTTTTCCTTTGGCAGCAACAATTTGAATGCATCCAATTTCAATGACAAATCAGGCGTAAAAAATTCTTAAATGTAGAAATATATAATCGACACTGTAGATGTCCAAAGAGGCCCAAACGTTTGCACAGCCCACTACATCAGTTGCCTCTACTCCAAGCGCTCCTCTCTCTTTCAAACACCACATGACGTAATTGTGAAGGGGGTCCTTTGGGCTTATACAGCACTTGGGGTGAAATCAAAAGAAGGGTGCCTCAAGGCTCAATCCTAGCTCCACTGATATCTGTAATTTTGTCGATGATTCCTCCCTTTATGCAACACATGTCGATTTGCAAAACATTTAAAAAAAGAAACTAAAAAAGATGCAATCAACATCATCAAATGGTTTTCAGATAATAAAATGAAGCTAAATAAGAATAAAAATAACACATATCGATGATGCAGGGTGCTATATGTAGCCTTCTTGCAATAAATTTTCGAAAAATGTGCATTATCCTCAAAAAGATGCGAATTTCTTTAATTTCGCGGATTTTTTTGTGTTATATGCGGATTTTGTATTCATATTGATGATGCAGAGTGCTATATGTAGCCTTCTTGCAATAAATTTTCAAAAAATGTGCATTATCTTCAGAAAGATGCGAATTTCAAGGTCATTATAAATTAACAATAAAACAAAGACTAGTTTTTCATAATTTTATCATAAAACAAAGAACAGTTTTTCATAATACAGCTTCATGGTTGAGACCAGCTCATAAGAATCTACAAACAGATTCAAGCGAAAAAAATAATGAACGCTTGACTTCGGCTTGTCTCTCGTTTTTCAGCAGCAATTTTATGCAATGACGGTTAGAGTGTTTGCAAAGGTGCATGGTAGTCTCTGGCTGACATCAAACCCATTTGTTTGTATGTTTTTTCATTGCAAACTATCTAGGACTGCAGGACCAAAAAAGATGATTACATAAATAAGCTCAGGGTTAGAGGCTCAATTTCATAGTCAAAAGTCATTGGACATTGACAGATGGAAAACAAAGTCAAAAGGCATTTTATGATGTGATGGGGATAAAGTGTAACCACGTCTTTTGATTGCCTCTCTTTGAAATACTGAATGGCTTCCTGCTTTCTTTTGGGATTAGGAAATTGATCCAAAAGTGAGCCCGGATTCTTTCTTTCATATTTATTGCTGATGGTTGCTAGGTCGGTCTTGGCTTCAAACAGCAGTACATCTTTATCCTGTTGAAAACCAAAAACATTTTATGGTATTTTGAAAAACTATTCAAATTAGATTGAATAACTAGCTCCCCTACGAAGCCCGCTACGCGGGCTTGCCAGTGACCCTACGGTAGAGTACATAGATTAGCCTCGGAAAAGACAAGAATTTTCTTAAAACCCCCTGTGAATGATAGTAAAATTAGCCTCGGTAAAGACAAGAATTCTTTCGAAGCCCCCAATGAGTATGCAGATTAGCCTCGGAAAAGACAAGAGGTGTATCAAACTCGATTTGAAAAAAATTGGCTCCGCACAGGTCACGTGATAAAAAAATTACTCGCACTCCTGTGACTATCGCTAGTCAGGGGGTCGCCTGAAATAGAGAAGGGGTAGAGGCTCCCCCCTTCCTAGCGATAGTCACAGGAGTGCGAGTAATTTTTTTATCACGTGACCTGTGCGGAGCCAATTTTTTTCAAATCGAGTTTGATACACCTCTTGTCTTTTCCGAGGCTAATCTGCATACTCATTGGGGGCTTCGAAAGAATTCTTGTTTTTACCGAGGCTAATTTTACTATCATTCACAGGGGGTTTTAAGAAAATTCTTGTCTTTTCCGAGGCTAATCTATGTACTCTACCGTAGGGTCACTGGCAAGCCCGCGTAGCGGGCTTCGTAGGGGAGCTAGTCTTCCGTTAATTGAAAGTTGCTTCAAAACATTTGCAGCACAGGTCTATTCGTGTTCCTCGTTTAAATATTTTAATGTGTTACCCCCTAAGTCTCCTGTTTTAATTTTCCATAAAATTTCATGTTAAGACTTCCCAACCTTACTTATCTGTTTACTCCTCTGACAAATCAAATTAAAGTTGAATCTATCTTGAAAATCAGAATAAAAAAACAATGTCCTCCTACATTCTTTCAATTTAATAAGGAATGCAAGCAAAAAGTGTAATATCATACAGCAAGCAGGCAAGGATACTTTAAACGTGACAAAAGGCAAACATAATTAATCTAATCCATAGTCACGCCTACTGTGAGTAGCATATACTATTGGCAAGAGCAGGAAATAATTGCTTGAGGACAAAGTCTTATTTACTCACAGCAACAACCCTATTGAGATAAGAGCTATTTTCGTGTAGGAAGATAATGCTTTATTACCTTGATTGTAATTCAGTAAATCCTTTTAGAAAAGTAAACCCAAACTTAATTACTTGCTGGCTCCAGATACCCATACTTGCGAAATTCCTAATAGAATCAATCCAATAAGTAGTTCCTTGATTATTATGATTACCAATTAGCAATATCATAGCTTTCATCACCATCTGAACCCCTTTGAAATCGAGCTTAATAGCACTCTTGACTTTCAGAGGCTAATCTTACTATTCCATTCCGGGGTCCATAGAGTGCCCGCAGAGCGGGATTTACTGGGAGCTACTCTTCCGTTTATTAAAATGTACACACCAATTTGATACATAAACGGTTGCAATATCGAGGCAAGGCAGAAAAGTTCTTCAATATATTTTGTAAGCCACGATCTAGTTGGGGTCCTCGTTTAAATACTTTCACGGGTTACCCTCTTTAATTCTCCTGCTTATTCTAATTGCAATTTTCAAAGTTTCCATCTTCTTTTATCTCTCGGTGTATCGTGGTGGTCGTTTAAATATCTTGCAGGCTTATCTAAAAGCTTTGTTAATTATTCTGAATTCTACTTTAAACTTGACAGCAACATGCTTCTGCCAGTCCCACCAATTCCTTATGCTCGTTGGCACATTTTCATGGGTTACTCCTAGAGGTTCTCCTATTTAGTCAGAATCAAATTTTTAAGTTTTCTAATCATACACTCTTAGCCCTCGTCTACTTATGGGGCGTTTTTAAATATTTTCTAAAGTCATTCTTAGAGCTGTAATGTTCATTTTAAAGCACTTCGTTCAATCTTTGTTCACTTGTGATGCTGTTTTTAGACATAATTGCGGGCCACCCTCAAAGCTCCCTGTTTATTCTGAATCAAACACCTCTTCTAAACCCCAAAGAGTTATAAAGTTATTACGCAGTTCTATACATTTGAGGTCCACATATCATATCTTCGTCACAATTAGCTTTTGAAACACTGCAGCAACAAAGCACTTAAGAAATGGAAAGATAGAAAACAGCCAAAGTTTCGTGCATCAGAAATGATTCTTACTCCAACAACAAATTAACAAAATACAATTTACGGACAACAGCTAATCTATATAACTTTAGTCCTTTTCTCCACAGTCAAGAATCACGTCTGGGTCATAATTATTGCTTGAAACGATCTTTGATCTAGATGAAGAACATCACAAATAATTAAGATGTTATTCCATGGTTAACGAAAGCACTTTTTAAGGAAATCCATAGTAATAATGCTTTGTAAAAATTTCAGAAAAAAAGGTTCGCCCTGAGGGTTTAGCCACCCCTTTATGCGACCTGTTTTTAGTGAAATTTCATCAAACTAAGCATAAAATCATTTGAACTTGTTCTTGTGAAGCGAGCAATACAGCAAATCCATCTTCCTTGAAGAACAAAACTACGAAGAGATAAAACATTAAGAGAAAGGCGTTCGTGGCAGGTCTAGCGACTCCTTTTAGCAACCGGTTTTTAGTGTAATTTCACCCAAATAAGCATAAAGTCATTTGAAATGGTTTCTAGAATAATTGTCACTCAAGAGGCAGGCAAATCCCATCTCATTCTCAGTGGGAAAATCTCACAAAAAGTGAAATTTTAATAGAAAAATACTCACTTGTTGAACCAAAAAGTCAGCGAATCCGATCGTTTATCTACAAAAAAGGAAGGCGGTTAGGAAAAGTTGCTGCAAAGGATTCTCGATAGGCATAAAAAGTTGGGGGCTGGCGGGATTACATAATTCGCATTACAACGGGTTTCCTATGAAAATCAAATTTTCTTGCATCAAGAATAAACAGCAGGAAAAATCTACCACAATTCTTCATACTTTGATTGCAATAAAGCCAATCCAGTTTCCTTTAAGCACAAAACCACGAGAAGAGGTAAAAAGTTTTCGTTCGCAGCGGGGGTCTAGCAGCCGGTTTTTAGTGTAATTTCATCGAAATGAGCACAAAATCATTTGAAAAAAGTAATATCGAAAACACGTAAGAACAACAACAGCGCTTACCTGTATTCACATGCCATCGATTCTGATGCCAGTGAAGAAGGGGAACAGCCAGCAGCCATCGCAGAACCGAAAAACGGGCAGCAGCGGGTGTACCGTATGTACGTAGCTACTAAAACGAAAAGGAAGATTGTCAAAAGCACGAATCACATGGCTCTTGCAAACAAAATAAGAAACAGGGTTCAATCATCGATCGATAAAAAATCAGTTGATAAAAAAAGCTAGCAAGACTCACCTGAGGTCTGTCGAGAGCACCCAGCACGATTGACTACTGGAGCTGTAGCTGTAGCACACGACACCAACCGTCGACGACCGCTTCGAGTTCGAAAAGGAATGCCAACCAGCAGTGCACGTAGATTTATCATCCAATTCCACATCACCTAAATTATCGGCACACAGTAGATTCTTTGTGGAAAGCGAAACGAATTTGAAAAGCCTCCGTTCAAATTGAAGGGTTGCTGTTGGAAGGAGTTTTGAAACCTTTTGTAGAGAGCAAGAGAAAAGAGAGAGAAAGAACCTTTAGAAAGTCGGGACAAAGACCGCGGAGAGCACTAATCGTGATCGAGAGGATTTCGAACGAATCCGGGAGAAAACCGTAAATATCTCAGGAACCGAAGCGAAAATGCGAAAAAGCGGACCTTATGTTTGAGCCTCGAGGATCTAGGATTCAGTGGAAAAAAGAATTTTGAAAATCGGCCGAGCGGTTTTGGCTCAAAACCGTTTGAATCGCGGGGCGGTGTGGATCTTTTGTTCGGGGTTGATTTGCATATCCGAATTTTAGTTATAGTGATGTGTGAAATTTATACCACACCATAAGTAGGCAGTACAGATTTTATCCCTTGAAAAGAAGTGGGACTCTTGCAGGCTGAAAATTGCAAGCTGCAAAGGAAGGTGAACGAGCTTTCAAAACAGAAGAATAAACCAAAAGCATTTTCTTGAGAAGAAATCAGGTCAGACTCAAAGATGAAGTTTTATAATGGCATTCAAACTGTTGCATTATTCAACATGCTTTTTGACCTACTTGAACCTTGTTTGCCATCCATGGTGTACTGGAGGGGAACAAGAACTGTTTCACCATCAAAATACATCGGGAATAAAAAAAGGAGAAATCAAAAAGTGCCCCTGAGAGATCAGTTTTTGCTTGTCCTTATGAGATTGCGGCTGGGTTTGATGAATGAGGATCTGGCAGACAGATTCAGAATCTCACCTGGTGTATGCTCAAATATATTCACCACTTGGATTAAGATGCTGGCATTACTTTATGGAAAAGCTTTAGTCAGGTGGTTACCTCGAGATGTCATTCGAAGCAATCTCCCTGATTCTTTTAAAAAGATAATTCCGAAAACAAGATGCATTATTGACTGCACTGATATATTCATGGAGAGGTCCAAGTCATTACATGCTCAAGCTAGTACCTGGTCTGATTACAAAAAGCACAATACACTGAAGGTACTGGTAGCAATATCACCTCATGGCTATATCATGTTTTTATCTAGTTGTTATGGTGGAAGAACATCTGACCAGTTTATTTGTTCCAATAGTGGACTTTATAATCTTTTGGATCCTGGCGATGAAGTGGCAGACAGGGGATTTCAGATCAAAGAGGATTTACTCCATTTCTATTGTTCTTTAAATGTCCCCCCAGGTGCCAGAGTGAAGTCACAGATGACTTCCTATGAGTGCAAAAAGACAAGAATGGTTGCAAATTTGAGGATTCATGTTGAAAGAGCCATCAACAGGATAAAAGAATTCAAAATTATAAAAAACATTATGCCAATAAACATGTTACCTCTAGCAGATGGCATTATACAAGTGTGTGCTGCTTTATGCAACATTCAGCCCCCACTGATTAAAATAAAAGAAATCAAATGAATGAAAGATATACCTCTCATTACAGTAGATCAGTAGATCTTTTGAAAGCACTCAAGGAAAGCACTCAAGGAAAAACCTCAGTTCAGTTTTGTGTCTGTTTCAGCCATGCCTCTTTATTGTAATAAGAATTATTACAATTTCAATTTCCAATAAGAAATCAAACTTTTTTCAAATAAGTTACTTACTTTCTACAACCATGGTACATATAGTTTATGGTTCTGGTAATGTGAATTTTTGCTGGCTAAATGGTTATTGCGCACCTTGAAAAGTTAAGGCAAGTGATGTTGTGTTATCCATAAAATGTAGTCCTAAAACATTTAAATAGAAAGCATAAATGTAAAAATGTTTAAGAAGTGTATCACTGTTTGAAAGAGTATATATATGAAATTTTTATAAACCAAAGAATTTTTACTGAATTTTAAAAAAGTTTTATGAAAACAAAAAATGTTAGCATATCCCTACAAGATTTGAAAAGAGTGACCATGTCCCCTCTGCCTCCCGGAAATGATAAAATACACAAAAGAAATTAAACACATTTGAATTTTAGAAATAAAACTAGAAATTTATTTCAAACTACCTAACAGCATAACAGAAGTCTTAAAACATTGCTTGTACTAAAAGGCTCATTTGCTCATGTTCAAAAATAAAATACAATCATTAGTTTGGCTACATAAATGCCCTAAAAACCAGGCAAGATTTCTGTTCAAGACATATTTTGTAAAGAAGCACAGAATAGGCAGCAAAATGACAGTCAGACATTAAACATTTAGTCAAAATATGGCTCTGCACATGCAGTAAAAAGTCCACTTGGGGACTGTTAGGTGTGTGTGGAGGCTGGGTGTAGTTACAATAATGATCCCCACCCATGGGCTAATCATTATTTTTCATGTACATTATTTTGATTTGAACCTAATATCAGCAGAATAACTCAGGTATGTTTCGATGGAGCAGACCTGCTTGACTTTTACAACAGTACATCCATTCAGAAATTTGATATCATGTCCATAGCTGCCACCAGAATCCAATTAAAATTTATGCAATAAAATTCATGGACACACGCAACACGCAAAATAGTAAATAGACTAAGCCAAATAGTTCTGTAAAGGTGCTTAAACCTTATTCATTAAACAGATAAGGAACATAATAGTTAACATAAAAGTCCTCCAAAGTGTGTTTCAGCTGCAACCAGTTCATCTCATCAAAACTAATCTTCTCAAGAAAGCTGCCATGAGGTGTCTAAACATAGAAATGACAGGTTGATAACCCAACTGAAGCCATTTGCACTTGACATTGTTTAAAATATTTATGGTTTCTGTTCAAAACCATTTTGTCTGTAGGTGTTGTATGTCTTATAGAAAAATGACATTTAATTTCCAGGCAGGCTGTACCACAACATGAGCATTCAATTATATGGTCTGGGCTAGCACCTACAAAATGCATATCTTTCAAAAGAAACAAACCACATTCAGTCACAGAAACATCTTTGTGAGCTACCTTGAAATTTTCAACAAATGAATCAACTGCTTCATTCTCCATAGTCTGTCCATATCTCACTGCAGGAACACTTAAGTTCAAATCGTTCCCAGAAATCTTATCAAAAATTGATAGAAGATTCACATCACTGGTATCCTTGGCTCTTTGTAATGTTGCATGTCTAGCTTTAACATCATGTGCTTTAGAGGCAGTAATAACATGCTTTCTAAATAGATTCCAATTTGTGTTTTCATTTTGACCTCTAGTTATTTTTTCTATACATTTAATTTTGTCTTCATCATAGTAACTATTGGAACGTCCCAAAAAATCTTCCCCACTCTCAGAAGCATTAAACACTGTTTTTAAACTGTGAACACTCACAGCTTCTGCTCCTTGCGGTACCTGAGAATCCACTTTTGGCAAGGCAGTAAACAAGATAGAATCACTCTCTTTGCAAACTGCTTTCAAGGCAGCAGCAACATCTTCAAAGGTTAGCTTGTAAGTGCTCTTTGCTATGGGATTGAATTTTCTCTTCTTAGCTGTGTTTAAGCCTGCCTGCTCTTTTCCTCGTTTGCCAAAATCTTCTCTTTTCAACTTCAAATCTTTTATTTTTACTGGCTCAACAGCCTTGTTGTTAGGTAGCCATTGACATGCAGTTGAAGTACAAGATGGATTATTCAAAACCATTCTGCAAGCTGACTCAACACAGAAGAGAGCAGCAGCCACAAGATTGCATGTCTGAGACATGCCGGCCATACAAGTGCAATGAGTTACTAGTATTTTACCAGTTTCTTTACAGAGACAAAGCCATAGTTTATGTGGAGTATCATTTATTCTCTGTGAGGGTCTACAAGTTCCCCTCAGCAAACAAACTTTACTGTCTCCACTGATGTTGTTAAACTTCAAAGGGGCTAACCATCCTTGTGAGAAATAGCAGTAAGCTTTTGAAATTTTGTAGTCGCTGAGATCAGAACTAGCAAGCTCATTAGGATGGAAAGCTAAAAAGTTGAATATGTCTGGGTAAAGAGTGACTGGCCAGTACCTTACCCCGTCTTCCTCACTTAGCCATCCTTGTTCAAGCTTGAGCGGGTCAGGGATGCGACAGCAATTTGGCATCATATTCAACAGAAATTTCCTGTTGAACTTCTTCCGCAGTTTTCTGAACAGGAACATCATTTTCAACAGCAACAAAAACCCTTGCAACTAATTCTTCTTTCTTTCCTGTTACACGCAGTCCACGCAGTCGCAGAAACTCTTTTAATTCCTTGACTTTCATTCGTGAAATCGTGGCCAAATCCATAACAATAAGATTTAGGCCAACACTGGATTTCTGCAAGGTCTCGACGCATTGTATTGAAAAAGTTTTAAAAAAACTCTTCAAAAGTTAACTGAACGAATTTCAGCAAGTAAACAGCGAAAAACAAATGAAAACGGCGGCGCAAAACGAAGATAATAGTCTCGATAATCACAAGCAACACGCCATCTTCATCAGCATACTCGTACAAAGCTCCAAAATTTTTTGACCCCAAAACTAGACCCAGTCTCTGTGCTGACAACGAGGCCGCGGTCCGTCAAAGTGGTGTATTGGCAAGCTCACTCACCAGTTTTGAACGATAGACTTCCCAATGTCTTAGAACAGATGGAAAACGGAACTTCTGTTGATGATAGTAGTAGGTTCTGGCGGTACATGCTGATAATCCCATATGTCCAAAAACCAGAAGTATCTTGCTGATTGAGGCGCCTGCCATAAAGCTTCCAAAAATTAGCAACACATTGCTTGCTGGAAGACCACCCTTCATTGTTGGCTTGGACTTCCAGGTAAATGCATTGTCTCCACTTGCCGAACAATCTTGCCTTATTGTCACCATGGTTCCATTCTTTTTCATTGAAACAGACGGATAATCAGGTTTACATCGGAAACATAACATACTAAACAGGTTGAATAGCAGCGAGTAAAATACAATCAACTTTGGTTCACTCCTGACAGTGTAGGTTCCATCATTGCTGGAAAGTAAAATAGCATTTGTCAGATGAATGTGAAATTTCAGCAAATTATTTTTCTTTTACTATTAAACTATTTCTTTCCAACAAATTTATTTTACTTATTTTAACAAATTACATATGATATGGATCAATATTACACAGATATTTCTTCCGTAGGATTTTCTTTTGTTTACAAATTGTCAAATTTCCCTAATTGAATATTACAGTGTGGTGGAAAATGTTGTTCATACCTTTTCTGTCATATTATTTCACTTTCAATTAGAAATTTGATTAGACAATGATGTAATCAGGATAGTTTTACCTAATGTTCCCTCTTGTTTCATTGGTTACTTTTACATCCTCATCATTTTCGTCACTGTCTATTTCTATCCCATTTACAAATGCTTCTACACTGTCTTCAGATTCATCTTCATCTCTTACTGGATTCCACTCCTAATCATTTTTAGCCAAACAGAATCACTATCTGCCTCTTCAACGTTCATTTTATTCACAGGCTTAGTTGGCTGTCCTTGTTTTGACTCTCTGAATTTCTTTACTTTACGTTTTAGATAATTGATTGCCTAGAAACAAAGAGTAAATGAGAATAGGTTACAAAAAAAAATTTTTATGGATGGAATTGAAATTTGGCATATCAGCAAATATTATTATGTACAGTGAACTTACATCTATTTGACTTGTTAATTTCATTTTCTGTCTTATTATTTTTAGATTTTGGCGATTCACCTTTTGGTTCAAACTTTTCAATCTCGATGTTTCACCTTGCAATCTTGACAGGATAGACTTGACACATCTACAAATGGAGCTGCTTCCATGCTGGCCTCTGTAAAAACTGTCTGCGATTAATCAGTTTTAGAGGATGTTGCTTTGTCGCAAAATGGCTCTTCGAATTGGTCTGTCTGTGTATCCGCTACAGAAACTAAATTCATTGCATCTCTTACACTCTGAAAAACAGAATGTGAATTTGAGCTACTACATTTATGGAATCCAGGGGCATCGCCAAAGGGATACCCCCTCCCCTCCCCCCAACAAGGGATACCCCCTCCCGGAAAAAAGAAAAAATTTTGTACTCTCCCTGTAACCTTTTTGCAACAATTGTAACTTATTAACATTGACATGTAGTAGTTGAACTTTCAAAGTATGGCATTTAAGTATGAACTTTGAAACAGAAACACATAAAAGCAGCATATAAAAGTATTTATCTTTTGACCACACCCTTAATGCATGAGAGGCATCCTTTGTGTCGGCAAAAACTACTTATTTACCCCTGTAAAAAAATTTTGGTGAATCTATCAAATTTGATGAATGTTTTATTTGCACACATGTATTTTGTAAAGCTTCAAATTGGAAGGGCTTGACTTTTTTAGAAGATACAAAATATTGTTTCTTCAATTGCAATGCCAACATTATAAACGTTAATTTAAAGAAAAAATTGAAAAATGAAGTAGACAAAAAAAGTAAATCTTACCTTTCTTCTTTCCAGTTTAGACTGAGACGTTGAATTTCCTTCATTTCCGGTTGAAGCCATGTATACTGTCTCAACGGCATCTCTTGTAAAAACCTTTTTGTTTTTGAAACATCATTACCAATTAGACTAGTTATGCTCCTTGTGCAGCAACCTGGCTCAAAATGATCTGAGCAGAGGACGTGGTTTGAAAATTCTTATGGGTCAAAATTGGGCCTACGTTTTCTAACAAATTAAGTCCATCACCGGCGTACAGCAAGGTCCTTTGGAAAACAATGGATGCTCATACCCTTACTATAACTGTCATTACAACAGCTTTTATTGTCTAGAGTGCCTGCAACACAACGTAGACCACCACAAACCTTAGTTTTGTTACCTGACTCCATAGCCAATGTAAAGTTTCAGTACGTAGAAAAAAGAAATGTAAATATTGCGAAACACTGCATGTGTCCATAACTTTACGTCACAACATTAAAAAATAGACTAGTTAAAGTTTAACTGTTATTTTGCAATTTAATCCAAAAAGTGAGAAGAAACTAATTTTGACCGTCATCATAATCATATTAATGGAAAGTTGAAAAGATGGAAATTTGCTATTTGTTGGCTTGGTAAACAAGAAAAACGGAAAAACACAAAACAAATCAAGAAATATCAAAAGGAAAACAAATCTTGTTCTGCACCTCTTTCATTATCTGATTGCAGAAGAATATTTTATAGATTACTGTCATGTCTTGTTTATTTCAGGATCAGGATTATTCCTTGTGGACAAGGTGCAAAAAGCGGTACCAGCAAATTCCATTGTTAACATATCCTACGATCAAGATTTTAAAGGATCTACTACTGTGAGGTGTCACAAACACGCGAGAATTGTCAATGACAATAAGCAGTTTAGATTGATGATTTTAGTTGATCATATTTAGTCGAGTTAGGAAAACTATTTTATTATTATTGATCATGATTAAAGTAATCATATTAATAAAAAATATGCTGTGTTCCTTATAAACTATTTTATTATGACAAAAAGGGACAAGATGACGCCTTACCATGTTCACAGTAAACAGTGAAAAGCCCTGGCAACGAATTAGGGTGGCCTTGGTATGCTTTTTGCACCTGTCACACGATTTTTCATTCTTGACATCTTGATCTTAGACTCCATGTTGATTTATCAAAGGCTAAGAAGGAAAAAACGAATAACTCTCTTCGGTGCGATTCAAAGGCGCTAGGTCATGCTTTTCAATTGAAAAGACAGACTGTGTTTTTCTTTGCATCTCTCCAAATAGTCTTTGTCAATTGACGGAAATCGGAGTTGGCAATAAAGCTGCCAAGGCAGCATAAATCATAGATGCAGAAGACTGCAGTTTGGCAAAGCTTTCAGACAACTAATCCACTTAATAGGAGTGCCATTATTGAAGCTAATGTTTCTACGGATGGATAATAAAAGCACACAGGTGAAACTGAGGCAAGATTTCAAAGCAGCATTCAGATTCCTTTTGGAAAATAAGACCCATCTGGAAAGTTTGTCTCACACTCATTTATCACAGCAAGAGGGTACCAGTATTTTGCATCAAGGCTCTCCCTGTTAGATCTTTCAAGCTGTTTTCGGAACAGAATTTCATCAAAACCTGTCTTGTTGTGGCCTCCTCGATAAAAACTCTTTTCTTGAAGCTGGTAAAAAATTATAGGCACAGAGATTAGATAAGGTCAATCAGTGACTGTTAACTGCTATAACCAGCACCAATATTTAACTGCTGACATGAAACTTCGCATTTTCAAACCTTTTTCACTGTATGAATACCCAATCCATTGGATGTACTGAAATGATATCCACAAACCTAAAAGGCCATGCCATCATTCCTTTATCTTAATTATTTTAACATTTATCAAACTTATAAAAACTATGTAATGTTCTTATCAGCCTTTCAATATTGGCAATGTTGACATCTCATCTTCTATATCAACCTTTCGTGCATACACATTGGAAACTCAGCAAAGTTGCATCGCAAAGGATGATACGTGGAAATCCACCACATCTGGTACAAAAGAAATTGTCTTAGACGTCAACTTGAAGCAGCTTGAAAAATGAATACCATGCCACTCTCCACTGATGGTAAGTAAGGCAATGTTCTATTTTATAGCCAGCTGCTGTGAGGTTCATTTCAATATAATTAGGTAATTCAAAAGTGATTGGCTAAGAGAAAGGAAAGATAAAGTTCTACAATACTCACAAATATCCTTAAATAAGTACCACAGAAAAATTGTCATTTTATAGTTGTTTTTGAATGCTATATTCAAAATACTATCTAAAGAAGGTACCTGTTTCCTGATACGAAGTGGTGCAAGTAGTTCATGAGAATATCATGACCAGTTAGAAAACTTCCCATACCCCCTTCAGTCAATCATCATACAATTTTGTGTGCTGATGCATGTCCTTCTTACATTTGAGATATGGAACTAGCAAAGCAGATTATTGGAAACCAAAGAAGATAACTGGACACAACAACGTAGGAAAAAGGAAAATTAAAAACTTTGTCTGGATTTAGACAAACAGAAGAATTTCACAATGCATCAGTTAAGCAAATATTAATAGATTTTTTCTAATTTGACAATAGTGTATAACAACAGTTCAGTTAGCATTTGGATCCATGTAAAATATTTTTAGCTTCCACCTGTTAATTTAAAATGAGTTAATTTAACAAAGACTATCCATCGTTCAAGAGCACAATATTCTTAGTTAATGCAGTCCTTACCATAAACATCAATGATCTTCTTCTGCATTAAAGTCTCTTCTTATCCTTTTCTCAAAAAACACCACATGTTTTGCCACAAGCATTTTGTCCAACATCAGTAAAATCAGGAACCAATTGAAAGATGTTTTCGTCTGTAAGCTGAACATTAGAACCAAGCAATCCATTGAATACGGTTCTTTTGAATGGTAATGTCTCCATGGGAATTATTCTCTCTGAAACTGCTTTTCGTACATGATTTTTTAAAAAGGAAGTTTTCAAATTTTCACGTCTGTAGAAAATCAATTAGAAAATTCAGGGATGGTAGCTTTTTCTATGGTAAGTGTGACATTAAGACAGGTCACATGTTTACAAGAACGCTGGTTATTCGAATCGAGACACTTAAAACCACCCATGTCCATTCCAACAACTCCATACCCACCATCTGTTGATCGCAAATAAACAAGAGACTCCCTAGTCAATGACAGTTCAACAAAGGCTGGAAGTTCCCAGACAGTCTTTTTGTAGACAGCCAGATTGCTTGTCTTTTTATAAGAACATTGTTTATAATAGGAAAACAAGGGGCTCAAAATTGCCAAATTTAAAAAATCAAGAATAGTAGCCATGCTCAAAAGTCAACAACATTCTGACTTCTTTTAAAAATTTTCATGTTCGCTATGCTTTGTTGCTGGTGGTTGGAAACAAATGTGACTTTATGTGAGTTCTTAGCAAAGTTTCAATGAATGGAAACAGTTACTTCAGAATAATTTTAAAATATCTTAAGGCCTAAAATGTAAGTCTTTTTAGAATATTGAATCACAACAAAAATCAAGGTATTATTATAAAAATTTGTATAAAATGATTTTCTTATTTTGTAGAAACAACACTTCAGTCTTGCATTAATTGTCATTCGCATTTTTAAAATTAGATTTATTTCACAGACTTTGTAGCTAATAAACTTCTTAATCATCTTGACTATACTGAAGATCAAAGAGCAGTTGGCTTATTTTAAGCTTAGCAAGGCGTTTCTGTTTTTTTGTATCAAACTTCGACAGTACAGAGAGTCTTCATCTTCACTTATAGATTTTTAGAGTGGTTCGTCACAGTCGACCAGTGACTTACTCCAATCTGATTCGCTCAATTCAGTGCATGCCTTCAAGTGTGACGTTATTTTTCTCTTTATCTTCTTCGACAAAGTTGCAGTAGCGGAACAGCTACTTGCGACACTGCCGCTAGGACTTGGCATGGAGGATGGAGAATTGGAGCTCTTCTGCCTGTACAACAAATCCAGCTTCCATTGGGGAAAGGTTGCTCTCCATAAGTTTATTTGCACTTTTTCATGCAAGAATGCTTTTTGCTCAAAAAATTTACATTTTGGCAACGTTGCAGCTGCAGCACCAGACTGTGTCATGTGATTTCGCTTGTCCAAACATTTTTCAAAGTATCTTCCAGATTCTTTAATTGTTTCTAAAGAAAGTCAACTGAAAAAATGGAGCAATCTGCATTTACTCTAGGCGTTCTAAAATTTTCTTGACAAAGACACTGTTCGCAGTACACTTTTTGCAGTCTGTTTGTAGTATCTAGTTGTTTGAAAGACTAAAACTTACTATTTTTGTTGAACATAGCTGATTTCACGAATTTTACTTTGTTGTTCTGTCTTAAAGGCAGTATGTCGCGCCGTTCATTGGTTGAACGAGACAAAGGGAAAGTCTCTGTAAATTATGCAATTTAGAATTAAAGTCTGGTACTATAGACAAACTGGCGAAGCGATTTACTGTTCCAGAAGACGTTGAAAGCGCAAATGATAACCGAAGCCAAGAGCTTTTTATATTTAATCGTACTCGTTCAGATAGGCCTGAAATTCATCTAGAGTTTCAAATATCTAGAAACGAATCGATGATCTCCGGCGCAGTTGACCTAGGAGGCACTGCAACTGGAGACAGGTATAGGCCTAGTAGTGCAGTTAGTGTCGAGGGGCAACCTGAAGCACCTCCAATTACAATCACTTGTGACTGTCGAAGTACTTGTCAAAGAAAGGGGTGCCCATGCAGAAATGCTAGAAAACATTGTCAAGTTGGTCTGTGCACATGCGGAAGCAAAAAGAAGCCATGCCAAAACCGCCTTCCTACCGACGAACCATCGTCAGTGATAGGCCTTGCAGAAAGTTGCGCGAGTGATACGCGAGGGACAGTATGTGCAGGTGCTCCACACAGCTCGATCATCGATGTCAAGGTTTGTTGATAAATTTCTTGTACCACATAAGTGTATAATAAACAACTGAAACTTACAAATCATTTGGCTCTTATTTTGCCTTTAGCCCAAGTTAAATGCTGTATATTTAACACGATGCCTAATATAGAAATGTCACATTCAAAAAGCTCGTGTATTACATATTTACAGATAAAAAAGCAAGCATTTCATTTTTTCAATATTTATTTACACGAGATACATTTCAGCAAAAAAGAACTATTTACAAAAAAGGAACTATTAAGAAAAGAACTATTTGCATATTGCTGCACTTTGCTGCACTTTGTGCATATGGCTCACCAGCACAAACTGTGTAGTGTAAACATTTATGTGTATACCTTCTGTCTAATCAAAAGTATATTTTATTTTTTCCCAAAGGCAACATTATCAAACCTTAATCATGAAGATCTCTTAGAGATGGCAGCAAAGGTTTTTGAAGACAGAAAATCTTTGCTTATTGATCTTATTAGTCAGAAAATGGCAAATGCAGTGGAGGAAACCAATCAGCCTTCATTCAGTGTTGTCCCCTCATGGTGCAAATGTTTGCAGTGTCGTGAAATGCCCACCCAAAAGGAGAGAAAGTGCTGCAAAAGGCGCAATTGCATAACCAAGGATCAAACATTCTATGACATTTGTTTGAATGGAAATGTACTTGAAGTTGCCATCAATTCTCGATGTGATATAAGAGTTGATATACCAAGTCAAGACAGAAAAACTATGAGACACACTGCTTACAGACAGTTTGTAATGTGGCAGCATGGACCCTTAGGTGCTGGCAACCGGGTGGTAATACCATCATGCTGTGTTTGGAAAATCCGTGACAAATACCCCTCTCCAAACAATATGTACACTGGCTACAAAGATCACTAACACTTTTTTCTTGCTGTTATTTCAATATCACTAATTGTCTGAAATTCTTTATTGTAATCTATCTGAGCCAACTTTATTGCATAGACACTTCTTTGATTTTTATCTTTTACCTTCCCAAAATAAAATTGTAAATAACTACCACTTAAGACCACCATACTTAAAATACCCTTTATAATATAGCTGTAACATACTTTTTTGTTTAAAATAGTAACCTTTAAGATGCACTCAAAATTCACATTTTTGATTCAAAAATTACTCCTCTTATATACAGTGTTTACTTAGGATATAATGTTGGTTCATTAGTTCATGTACAAAATGTTTTTTTGTTTTTATTTGGTGAATCGCGATTTTTTTCATCCACCAAAACATCAGTTGCTCTTGCAGGAAGCTTTACGATGGTCCTAGATTTCCACCTGGGATCCTCTTCTGAAAGTGGTTTATGTCTTTCAACTTTGCCACTATCATTTCGTCGCTTGTTCATAACTGCTGCCAGCAATCTTGATACGTAGGAATAATCCTTAGGCTCCTTAGTTATGGTTGGGATCCACCTGCCAGCTTTTTTACTCCAACGACGTGAATACAGGAGATCTCCATTTTCATTTCTTGCTTGCAAACGGTTGCAGTGATGATTGTGATCAATCAATGCAAGCCTGTTACGCACTTTGTAAGCAGGATAGCTGGAAGAACAATTTTGAAAATTGCATAATAATGCTTTATTTTTAACATTATCATTTGCCAAATTGCACATAAATTGAGGTCTCCCAAGAAAAGCAATTTACTTGCATCCCACTATAGTGTGAAAATGTCTTTGTGATGTTTTGTGAATATAATACATGGTGAACAAAATATAAAGAATGTATACATAGACATTTTTCTATTAAAAAACAACAATGCAAAAATAGTATTTTTTGTAATGTCTGAAGTTTGAACCAAATTAAAACTATCCCAACATCCTTATAAGTGTAGCACTTACTTGAAGAAAACACGTTTGGGACAATACATCAGAAGATGGTTGTGAAACACTTCAAGTTGACCTGTGTGCCTGCAAAAGGGATAAGTATTCTTAAATGAAAAAGTGTTTCGCAGGTGTTTTATAAACTTTTGTTCAATGAATAAAGGTTGTTGGTTTGTATTCTATATGTATTTTAGAAACAAGGCCCAGCTTCAATTCAAATAGTCGTGTGAAATTCATGATATCTCTTGTTACAAAACTTCTGCTTACCTGAAATCTGTGTAGAATTTGAGGCTATTTAGGAATTTCTTGTCAAGAATAATTCCCCTTATTTGCTGGAAGTCGGAATCAGTAGCTGAAAACCAGTCTGCTCTCCCTGTGGTATCAAGGCATCCGTGATTGCATTGGTAGTGCATATTGCACAGATGCTTTAGCAGGCTAAGCCATTTGTCCTGTGAAATTGATATCACAAAAAAGCTCGCATCAACTTCAATTTATTTGCTTATCCATACTTTTAACAGAAAGACGAATCCTCAAAAACATTTTTGAAAGGCCTATATTAGTATACATACATATTAAATAAATACACACTTGTACACAAAAACCTATTTGAGGTTTTCAGAGTAGTAAGGAATGTTGCTTAAGTATTTGCTCAAACAAGCTAAGCAATTATACTTTACATTGTTTAATATGATAACCCTCCAAAAATAATAAATTCATTTCAGGTTTTGGAAACCAAACCAGAACCTTTTCTGTGAGTCTTTTCTGAGAGACAAAAATATTTGGTTTTTATTCTTAGCCACGAGAAAGCATGTTAATAGAGAGCAAAAGTTGTAATGCCAATTTCAATAGATTGTTACCTTAAATACATCTAAATTTCCATTGCAGGTTTCAGAACAGTACCAAAAATGATTTCTGATTGCTGGTATCCAGTTACGAATATTATCATTTCCTCTTTCATTTGCAACCTTGAACAAACAGAGATACAAAAATTTTAACAACAGACTGAATTTATGTCAGGTTTGAATTTTCATGCATATGGTAATGAATTTCCAGAGGAAAGATTAAGAATTTGTCAGCCTCTTCAAACTATATATATATATACATATATATAGAATCAAAGAAAACACTTTCGTAAGACGTTTCGCTTTCGCTTCATCAGTAATAACTTTACAAAATCAGAGGAGCCTACTTATCAACCTAAATTACAATAGAACACTACAATACAATAGAAACCTAAGGGGCACCTGCCTAATACAATACATATTGTCAAATGTGTTAGAATACAAACTGTTATGGGGAACTGGGAGAGAAGTGAAAAGAAAGGTAGAAGAAAGAATGTGATGGAGATGCTGGTGTTGGCTGTCTCACAAGAGATAGATGAAAGCCATAAAAGCAAAAAACAAAATAACGAGAAGATAAGCTATAAACAAAAGAGCCGACGTTAAAAATTAAAAATATAAAACAAAAAAAACTTTTAAAAATTTAAAACTGCAGAAGAATATATAAATGTCCTATGTATCTACCTGCCTAGTATTGAGACCCATCGGAGAGAAAGTATTCAAGCGATATTGCCAAAAACTTTCTCTCCTCCTATCATTACCTGTTAACCTATCTATGACCTTAACACTTATGTCATTCAGAAACCCCCGATGTCCTTCCTCAGAAAAATGTCTGAAAAATTCCATCTGGGGCACTGAAGACCCTAAATTAAACTTACGACTACACGCCTTGTAATTATTAAACCTAAGCCTAAAAGGCGTGCATGTGCTACCTACATACTGGACTCCACAGACATTGCACTCAATTAAGTACACAACATTGGACGAGTCACAGTTAAACGAATAGTTGATCTTATATTCTTTACCTGTAGTGCTAGACTTAAAATTATCGCTGTTAGACATGACTTTACACACTTGACATCTGGACTTCTTACAACACGAACTTCCCCTGTTATTATGTCCCTTTTCCCTCCCACTTGTAAGCCTAGCCCTCACCAAAATATCCTTAAGATTCTTACACCTCCTAAAAGCAACTACTGGTGGCACAGGAAACACCTCCTTGTGCTCTTCTGAACCAGTGAGCAAGGTATGGTGTTTCCTGGCAATGTTCCCCAAACCATTAAGTGCCGGATGGTATGTAGTAACGAGTGGAACCCTGTCAGCCCTCCCTTCGTTGGTTTTCCTACTTCCCGCTTTTTCCAGAAGAGTCTCCCTATCTAGCCTACGTACCCTATCTATTTGTTGATTAACAAGGGACTCTTCATACCCCCTATCCTTAAGCCATCCAGCGAGTTTACCTACATGTTCCTTAAACTGGCGATCATCTGACCAAATCCTACGATACCTAAGAGCCTGACTATAGCGGATGGCCTTCTTGGTATGCCAAGGGTGACAAGACTTCTTATGTAAGAACTGATGGGTATCAGTTGGCTTACAAAATAAGTCTGTCATAAGGACTCCCCCCTCTCCTACTTTTACCGTGACATCTAAGAAACTAATAGATTCTGTAGAATGTTCACTGGTAAACTTAATAGTGTCGTGGCTACTGTTGAGATGGTCAATGAATAACTTCAGCCTATCCTCCCCGTGTGTCCAGATAAAGAAAATATCATCGATAAATCTCATCCAGACAAGGGGCTTGTCGGCGAAGGTATCCATCAACCTCTCCTCTAACCTAGTCATAAAAAGATTGGCATAGGCCGGAGCGAACTTCGTGCCTATAGCCGTACCTAACTTCTGCTTCTAAAACCTATCATTAAATTCAAAATAGTTATTCTCCAATACTAAGGAAGCGAGCCCAGCTAATGTGTCAGTAGCCACGCCTGGATTTTCCCGTCTATCCAGCGCCTCCCTTACGGCCTCTAAACCTTCCTCGTGTGGAATGCTAGGATAGAGTCCCACAACATCAACAGTGCATAAAATTGCCCCTTCTGGTATAGTTCCTATATTTCCTATCCTAGATAAAAAATGGATAGTATCTTTAACATAAGACCTACTTTGGCTAACCAACGGGTTGAGGTGGTAGTCTAGATATTCTGAAACATGTTCGGTTAATGTACCACAATTTGAAATGACTGGACGCCCCTTAACATTACTAAGACCCTTATGAATCTTAGGCAACAAATAAAATCTACCTAACCTAGGATTGTTAACTTCTAAATAGCCAGCCACTTCATCTAACGCCGGGTCCGCCTCCCTTATTTCTTTTAACTTATCATTTATGGTCTTACCCAGTTCTACAAAGGGATCCACCTCAACCTCTTCATATACCTGCCTATCGTCTAATTGTCGGTTAGCCTCCATTATATAGTCCCCCAGATCCCAAACTACAACCGCTGAACCCTTATCTGCTTCTTTTATAATTATGTCCTTATCACATTTAAGCTTATCGAGTGAAGAGAGTTCTGAAGGAGAGAGATTACTAAAATTCTTACCCTCAGGTGAGACAGACAGCACCTCATTCTCCACCAGCGAAAGATAGTTCTCAAGAAGAAGGTTATTCTTAGGGGGCTGCCAGTTAGACCTATTTTTTCTGAAGGAGAGAGATTACTAAAATTCTTACCCTCCGGTGAGACAGACAGCACCTCATTCTCCACCAGCGAAAGATAGTTCTCAAGAAGAAGGTTATTCTTAGGGGGCTGCCAGTTAGACCTATTTTTTCTGAAGGAGAGAGATTACTAAAATTCTTACCCTCCGGTGAGACAGACAGCACCTCATTCTCCACCAGCGAAAGATAGTTCTCAAGAAGAAGGTTATTCTTAGGGGGCTGCCAGTTAGACCTATTTTTTCTAAAGGAGAGAGATTACTAAAATTCTTACCCTCCGGTGAGACAGACAGCACCTCATTCTCCACCAGCGAAAGATAGTTCTCAAGAAGAAGGTTATTCTTAGGGGGCTGCCAGTTAACAGTTTGTATTCTAACACATTTGACAATATGTATTGTATTAGGCAGGTGCCCCTTAGGTTTCTATTGTATTGTAGTGTTCTATTGTAATTTAGGTTGATAAGTAGGCTCCTCTGATTTTGTAAAGTTATTACTGATGAAGCGAAAGCGAAACGTCTCACGAAAGTGTTTTCTTTGATTCTATATACTATCGTTTAAACATTTTACATTATGAGCTTTTGAATACATATATATATAGTTTGCTAGGAATAGGTAATTGGGGCAATCAATGGAGCGTATTTTATCAATCATTAACATATTTACTATCTCTTGTGAGACAGCCAACACCAGCATCTCCATCACATTCTTTATTCTACCTTTCTTTTCACTTCTCTCCCAGTTCCCCATAACAGTTTGTATTCTAACACATTTGACGATATGTATTGTATTAGGCAGGTGCCCCGTAGGTTTCTATTGTATTGTAGTGTTCTATTGTAATTTAGGTTGATAAGTAGGCTCCTCTGATTTTGTAAAGTTATTACTGATGAAGCGAAAGCGAAACGTCTCACGAAAGTGTTTTCTTTGATTCTATATACTATCGTTTAAACATTTTACATTATGAGCTTTTGAATACATATATATATAGTTTGCTAGGAATAGGTAATTGGGGCAATCAATGGAGCGTATTTTATCAATCATTGACATATTTACTATCTCTTGTGAGACAGCCAACACCAGCATCTCCATCACATTCTTTATTCTACCTTTCTTTTCACTTCTCTCCCAGTTCCCCATAACAGTTTGTATTCTAACACATTTGACAATATGTATTGTATTAGGCAGGTGCCCCTTAGGTTTCTATTGTATTGTAGTGTTCTATTGTAATTTAGGTTGATAAGTGGGCTCCTCTGATTTTGTAAAGTTATTACTGATGAAGCGAAAGCGAAACGTCTTACGAAAGTGTTTTCTTTGATTCTATATACTATCGTTTAAACATTTTACATTATGAGCTTTTTAATACATATATATATAGTTTGCTAGGAATAGGTAATTGGGGCAATCAATGGAGCGTATTTTATCAATCATTAACATATTTACTATCTCTTGTGAGACAGCCAACACCAGCATCTCCATCACATTCTTTCTTCTACCTTTCTTTTCAATTCTCTCCCAGTTCCCCATAACAGTTTGTATTCTAACACATTTGACAATATGTATTGTATTAGGCAGGTGCCCCTTAGGTTTCTATTGTATTGTAGTGTTCTATTGTAATTTAGGTTGATAAGTAGGCTCCTCTGATTTTGTAAAGTTATTACTGATGAAGCGAAAGCGAAACGTCTTACGAAAGTGTTTTCTTTGATTTTATATACTATTGTTTAAACATTTTACATTATGAGCTTTTGAATATATATATATATCAGACTTGTTTTGTAAACCTACTGATACACATCAGTATTTACATAAGAAGTCTTGTCACCCATGGCATACCAAGAAGGCGATACCCTATAGTCAGGCTTTAAGGTTACGTAGGATTTGTTCGGACGATCGCCAGTTACGGGATAGGTTAAGGGATTTGGCTGGATGGTTAAAGGCAAGGGGGTATGAGGAATCACTTATAACAGAACAGATAGATAAGGCACGTAGGCAGGATAGGGTTACACTACTGGATAAGGCTAATGGGAAACATGAACACAGTGGGAATGGGCGGGTTCCATTTGTTACCACATACCATCCAGCCTTGAATAATTTGGGCAAGGTGGCCGGGAGACTTCATTCTATGCTTACAGTATCAGAAGAGCATAGGAAGGTGTTTCCTCAGCCACCTTTGATATCATTTAAGAGGTGTAAGAATCTTAAAGATATGCTAGTTAGGGCTAAACTTCATAGTGAGGGGGCAGGGGTTTCGCATAACAAGGGTTGTACTCCGTGTGGCAAGTCTCGGTGTCAAGTGTGTAATGTTATGTGTGACATTGATACTTTCACTTCCCATATAACTGATAAGGAATATAAGATAAATTTTTCGTTTAATTGTGATTCGTCCAATGTTGTGTATCTTATGGAATGTAAAGTATGTGGTGTACAGTATGTGGGTAGCACTTGCACGCCTTTTAGGCTTAGGTTTAATAACTACAAGGCGTGCAATCGTAAGCTTATCGGGGGCTCTTCGGGTGTACCTCAGGCTGATTTTTTCCGGCATTTTGCAGGGAAGGATCATCATGGGTTTCTCGAAGATATAAAAGTTACTATTATAGATAGACTTAATGGGAATGGTAGGATACGTGAAAGTTTCTGGCAGTATAAGTTAGAAACTTTTGCGCCCCGGGGCCTTAATATTAGGTTAGTTGACACATAGTTTTATTTTTATTTCCTATCTTTTTGTTTATTTTCTCCTTGTTACTTTTTTTTTTTATTTTTATTTTTTCCACGTTTTCTATCTACTCACCTTCTTTCTTTTCTGCATACTCAATATGTATATATTTACTTACCTTAGTTTCTTATATTTTTCGGAATAGACGCATTACCTTCCTTTTCCTTGGACCTTTCGCAATGCTTATACCATCCTGCCTATCACACTGTTTCTATTGTCTTTTCTATTGTATTTCCATCTTTTTCCTCCGGCTGTCTGCTTAAAACTATCAATTATTTGTAAATAGCTTTATTGGTCTTGCTTGTAAATGTGTTACTTTTGTTTTTGTCTCGTATTCCTTATTTACGCTCAGATGTATGTGTAATCTAAGATTAAGTAGCAACTCAACCAAGTTGTTTTTTTATTGAGTATTATTATTATTTTTAAAGAATTTAATTAGGAGCTATTGAATATATATATATATATATATTTTATATATTAATAATATATTAATATATATATATATACACATATCATCATATATCAAGACACTCATTATTTATCAGAAGTGTTTATAAACTTAAATATATCACAATATGTGAAAATATCACCTGCACCAACTTTTTTGTAAGTTTTGCTGACTTGTGCCATACATCTTTTTGAAATTTTATTTCAGTGAAACTGTTGTCATTCTCTGCAATGTATATAAATTATTCTAAAGAGAGAACATTAAACACTAGCTGCTATTCAAAATCAATCACAAGAAATTTTACTGACAGTAATTGAGGAGGCAAGTCATGAAACAGTTAATCCCTTGCAAACAAAAATGTTCAGACAGAAGTTTTATAAACACAAATGCCCAAATATGTATAGTATACCTGTATAAAAAATATATAAATATATATACAGAAATTGAAAAAAGGAAATTCTTACTCAACATTGCAGATATTTGACTGTGATCATCTGTGACAAAGCCTCTAACTTTCATATTTTTCTGGAGTTTATCCAGGCCTTTTTTGCAACCAAGCTTCTCCATATTTGGGCTCTTCATGTTAGCATCCCGTACATCCACAATCTCCTGGTGTACTATTAAATCTGACACTGTATCAATGAATGAATATGTGCAGTATGTTGCACAATGACCAGGAGAGTCATTTCTTCCATCTCCACCAAGTGTAACTTCCTTACCTGCAAACAGCCTAAAGATCAGGGATTGCATTTCTTCCCACCACTCATCTACCGTTGGATTGACATAATGTTTGGCAATCCTGTAAAATGATACATCGGATGGTATCTTAAGATTTAGTAGCTTGGCTAACAAAGAGACCTTCACATAAAGATTCCCTGACAATATTATGGAAGATAACAGCTGCAAATTGATGGCATAAACTCCATTAACTGTCTCAGAAGAACTCCATTTCATTGCATGTTTATTTTCACATTCAAGCCAGACCTCTGCAACACTTCCAATGAAGCCATGCTTTTTAACTTTCCTCTTTTGCCCACAAATGTCACAACTAATACAGCCAACCAGGTTCTCCAGTTGCGTCAATGAGCAGATAAATTTCTCATCTTCAACTAAACTCAGCTCATTAATTAGATGTTTTTCCTTAAAAAAATCCTTATGATAATTTTCTGGCAGAGTAACTTTGTTACTCTTGCCATACCCGAGTGAAATTGTCTGATCATCCGTAGATTCCCATGTCATGCTTCAATCTCTATATCCGAGTTGAATACTTCACTAACTTGAGGACTATGACAAAAATAAATACACATTTGTGAGCCTTACAGTTCATAACATGCAAGCATTCTATAAGATTTAAGAATTTATTTACTTTTAAGAAGACTATAAAGTGGTTGCTTAAGTGTTTATCAATCAATCAAATAAACAGAAATAGTCTATTGCAATAACTTCTTTTTTACAGCAGGAGATGATTGTCTTTTAATTATTTAAGGAAGTCTCATGCCTCAGATATGTTATTTAGAGCAATAGGGAGACTATCTTCAAAGATTTTTGCTTAGTTGTAAACTGTTTAGATCATGACTAATATCCAAAGCCAGAAATTATATTTAAATTCACAGCGCAAAGAGCATCATGAGTAAGAAACTTACTCTTCTGCTGGTTCTAATGTACTGGAGATCAGCTTTCTTCTTACAGTGTCAGTTGATTTTTGTTTACTGTGTTGCCTAATTTTTGGCAAAGGGGTGGAGTGTAGTTCTTGATGACCAGGGGAGACAACAAAACCACTGTGTAAGAAAGAAACATGCATGATTATTCCCCCATTCCATTCCAAATACTTATTAAATGAAAGGTTCTTTAATCCCCATCTGCATGTTCTAACAATTTGATATTTTCATTTCTTCTCTCTTAAATTTTTCTACTCATAATAGTATTAATTATTCTTGAATCAGCAGGCTTATTCAACCCCAGTTTGCAGAGTATGGCATGTGCACAAACAATATTTTGCAGAGCTTTGTCTAATGCACTCAAAAAGCTAGGGCTACACACACATTTTCTTGGTAGTTAAATTTTTCTTAGGGCTACCCCTTTTGAAACGCTGGTAATACTTGCTGTCCTATTCTACTCTAGACAGCAGATCGTTTGAAGCAATGAAATATGGATAAACAATTCTAATGTATTTGAATTTTTAAAGTCAACAAATCTAACAACCATCCGATTTAGGACTAGCCAGGCTATCGGGCCAACCTGAACATGTGCTTCATGGGAAATGTGTGTCCTCACAGAACGTGTCTAAACTATCTTTCGTTAAATTTCAAAGTTTTCTTTCCAAATGTTGCTCACATGAAATCAAACGTTAGTCAGGGCTAAGTCCAGTGTCTTAGAGGTCCGTCAGAGTATTTTGCTTAAAAGACTAACTCCTCCTTACCTCGCTAGTGTTCTTTTGTAAGATGAAATCAATGCCAAAGCAAGTTCGTTATCGGTGTGAAGGCCAATTTCTCCTCGCAAATTCCGCCACAATTCCAACGTTGTTTCGTGAAATGACACTTTCACACACTTTGTTTTTTCGTCAAACGATTTTCTCTTACGTCCACGCGTACTTTGCAACATTTCGACAGCAATGATGTGAGCAAAATGTGTCGCCAAAACAAGAAACCTTACATCGGAGCGCTACATCGGAACACCCACAGCTTCTGTTTCAGTGAGTTTCATTTCTTAGCCAAGGCGATATCTCACCTCCTATTGGTCAGTTGTGCTAATTTGTCACGCTTCTCCAATTTCGCGGACCCTCGAAATTCAACAGACATATAACCAATGAACAGCGCGACACACTGCCTTTAATACATTGGATGATTCACATCCCAATGACATCGCAACTCTCTAATGGCTTTAATGAATGCTTCTCTTTCCCACTCTACACTATCAGTTATCTCATCATAAGATATAAAAAATACCCCATAATTAGTTTCATCATCAGAACTCCCATCAGAAATTTAGATCATTTCTATCATAACATCAATTTTCCGCAAGACCTGAATTCAAGACAAAATACAAAAAAGAGATTCTCGGATTTTAGGGGGCTCTGCAGCTTTATATCTAAAAGAAAATACTCATCAATTATTTCTATGTTTTTAGATAGGGGTGCATTGTGAAAAAGAAAGCAAACAAATAAGCTCACTGTGTTTTCTTCATCTTCACCATCTCCATCGACCAAATCAGGAGTCTGTGATGACTGAAGCTGTTGCTGTTGAGAAGCCAAATAAACAGCCAACATTTCAGGGTTTTGAAGAATTTCTGAGAGGTCGTTTATTTCAGACATATTGATAGAACCCTAGAACTTAATAGAGCCTGCCGTCATCAATTTGAATTTTGAATGTTGTATAATGATCCGATCATCTAAATCTTAAATAGGGTGTTTCTGTAGGTAGGGGAGTGTTTGAGGAAAGAATGCGGAACAACGGAGAGAGGAAAGAGGTAGGCCATCAGAAATAAAAAACAACAGTTAGCTGTTAAGATTTTTCCTTTTTGCATATAATTAGCTGTGGCATAGTTCTTGTTTGTACGTTATAAGCCCCACGACATAAAAAAAATCACTGGTTCTGATATAAAGCGGAATCCAATTTCGCTGGAAGTTAGTGACCGATGCTGTTTATTTGCTCAAGCTGTTTGTTGATCCCAAGACGACCACTACATGAACAACACGAAAAGCACCTAAAGATCGCACTTCATCTGTTTATTCTCAACATTCCTCTTTAACTGCTCCTGATACCGGTTCTTTTCCTGATTTTGATGAAAATGAAGATTTACAGACAACAGGATTCCGAAGATAATTAATAGAGAGTGCGGGAAAATAACCGACCCGAACGAGGCTCGAACTCACGACCCCTGACTTTGTACGTCAAGTGCTCTACCGCTGAGCTATCGGGTCGTGCTTTCAAGCCAACACCCAAGGCCGAGTCATTCACCTGCAATGCCCCTCTCTTTTACCAGATACATAGGGGAGCCATCGCAGCTCCATCACAAAGTGCAGAGGACCTGAAGAGTGAGAGAAGACTGTAAATGAAGATGTTGCCTTGCCTAATACTGTTGAGAAAGAGTCATCTCTATTTGCAACATGTTTAACTCAGACCGAACTTTCTTTTGTCAAGACGCCAGTTTACTTGAATGATGCTTCCCCTTCTAATCTTATGACAGATCATTGTTATGCACCTCTTTTATCTTCAACTGACGTGATAGAATATCTCACTCTCCAACAGGTCACGTTGATAAGTTGAAATATGTAGACAGGACATATAGCCTGACAATCTGACATTCAAGCTAATGTTTACTTTCTCAACGGATTCTGGTAGTAGGGAGTTCAGGCTTTCATTATCTGCAAGGTGACTTTTTTGAAAATGCCTGGATGTCACGTGACTGATGACGTAATTTAACGGCAAAAAGTCAGACAAAATCATTGTTAGCTCCTCACTGAAGGGTTATTTTTTAACGCAACTTGCATATATTGACTCATCTCATTGCAAGCTTTCAAATGATATTTATTTAAGCAAGATTTGCCGACATAAGTATTTTCATTATGACGTCATAACAAATTTTGCATGACGTCATCAAATATTTTATTGTCATAAAATGATACGTTAGCATAATTTTGTTTTAATATGACGCTGGCTGTCAGCAAAAGCTTTTCTTCCTTAGATTTTTCAGTCAAAATAATTAGTATTCAGTTCATTTAAATTGAATTTGTGCCCACCGCAATAGCCAAAGTTCGAAGCAGGTAGTAGTCACTATCTGACGAGTGAGTCACTTCTTCCTCCGAAGTTGCAAAGTCTTGCTCCCACTTTGAACCGGACAATGATTACTCTGCATCCGCATTTGAATGTTACACTAAATCGGAAGAATGTCTTGGCAATAGAGGCTATCCAAGATGTCCTACCGATGTGCTGAAGGTGCATGACTTTTTTCAAAAAGGCTATCTTCTGTTGCGAAATAAGGCCATCTCATAAATAAAATACTCCATCTAGCATTTTTCTGATGGTGGATTTATATATGGATTTGGCTCCTTGCACATGAAATTAAGAAGAACAGCTTTATCACCTTGTCACAGTACACCTTCAGGAGTTGCAAGACTAGAGTTATGGTTTTGATGGGATATGAAAATGCCTTTTCGATAGAGGCAGCCTTGCCAATCACGAAAGCTTGGTGGTCTTCGTTCATTATTGAGACTGCTTTTGCTGTTTTCCTGGATCTTTGTGCCCCAGAATGCAGCTTACGTTTCTGACTATACTTTCGTTGCCAGCAACAACCTACAATTCGAGCAAAATAGCTCATTTCTTCGAGATATTTATTCCATGTTAGCGCTAGTGTCATCAGTCCGTGAGAACATTTTGTAAAAACGCCACCAGAAAACGCCAGATGGAGATTTGATGAGACGGCCTGAGTTCGTAGCATCAAACCCAAGGAAACATTCAGTGTTTGGTTCAAGAACATCCATGGATGTGCTAATCCTCCTTATGAGGCTAAAGCAATGGAAGTGGAAACAAAGTCAACGCTAAATATTTAGAAACCGCACACGAGCAAGCAAACGGCAAAAGAGAGTCATCAAGGCAAGTGCATATAAAAAGTGGAGAGCAAAAGATACTCCAAAGTAAGAAGAGTATTTTTACATTGATGAAAAAAGAGAATCTTATGAAACTTGCTCCCGAATTCTTTCGAAGCGCTGAGGGTCACAGCCCCCTGACAATTCAATTTATCGTAGCTTAAGGAGGAGAAGCATCGGAGACTTCAAAAAGCAAGTAGAAGTCCTTTCAAGATGTAACCACAAAAACCAGAATATTTTGCATGGTAACTCGAAAGATGCAAAAGTAGTTGCTGTTGCAAAAGAAACTGATTTATGTGTGCTGCTTGTTCATGCAACATAAAAGTGCAAACCCACAAATTAGTGGTTTATGTGCATAAATAACAAACAAATCGTCAAGATTTGAGGCATCGCTGAAACTTTTGGTTCCAAAATTTGCTGTATTTTATCACAGATTAATGGAATTGTGGGCTGAGACAACTGCATATATATAAGCACAACATTGATAAGGTTACTGTGAAAAAGCTAACGATGAACCAGAAATAAGTCATCATTAAAAGTCTCTCCAAAGGAGTTATCGCAAAAGCAAAGACATTCGCGAAACAGCAGAATATAGTGGAACAACATATAAAAGCTATTTAGGGACAAAGATATTTATCAAATCTGAAAAAAATCATCTGCAGCAGTTCCAGCAGATCCATAATCACTCAATCAGAAAATAATTAAATTGTATCAACTTAACAAGGTTATTTTGGCTACACTGTTTAGGTGCAACTACTACAAGACATGTCCCAAAAGTCTGATGTTGAAATTTGGACGACATACTCGACCGTTCAAAGTCTAAATGGTTCACAGGAAAGCAGCTTCCTCATCTCCGAGAGCTTCCTTTACATCACAAGAATATGAAGGTGACGCAGGAGATGAATTTACCCATGAAGAAAATCATACACTTTCATACCCAGCGCTAAAGACCTATAGTGCGAAGACATCTTGGACAGCCTATAATAGTGCGAAGATATTTTCCGACTTAGCAACAGTCAAATGCAGATGCAGAGAAAAGCAACTGTGACAAGGAGATAAAGCTGTTCTTCTTAATTTCATGTGCAAGGAGCCAAATCCATATATAAATCCACCATCAGAAAAATGCTGGATGGAGTATTTTATTTATGAGATGGCCTTATTTCGCAGCAGAAGATAGCCTTTTTGAAAAAAGTCATGCACCTTCAGCACATCGGTAGGACATCTTGGATAGCCTATATTACCAAGACATTCTTCCGATTTAGTGTAACATTCAAATGCGGATGCAGAGTAATAATTGTCCGGTTCAGAGTGGGAGCAAGACTTTGCAACTTCGGAGGAAGAAGTGACTCACTCGTCAGATAGTGACTACTACCTGCTTCGAACTTTGGCTATTGCGGTGGGCACAAATTCAATTTAAATGAACTAAATACTAATATTTTAATTGAAAAACATATGGAAGAAAAGCTTTTGCTGACAGCCAGCATCATATTAAAACAAAATTATGCTAACGTATCATTTTATGACAATAAAATATTTGATGACGTCACGCAAAATTTGTTATGAAGTCATAATGAAAATACTTATGTCGGCAAATCTTGCTTAAATATATATATCATTTGAAAGCTTGCAATGAGACGAGTCAAAATATGTAAGTTGCGTTAAAAAATAACCCTTCAGTGAGGAGCTAACGATGATTTTGTCTGATTTTTTACCGTCAAATGACGTCATCAATCACGTGACATCCAGGCATTTTCCAAAAAGTCACCTGGCAGATTATGAAAGCCTAAACTCCCTACTACCAGAATCCGTTGAGAAAGTAAACATTAGCTTCAATGTCAGATTGTCAAGCTATATGTCCTGTCTAATGATGATGGAGTTGTCAAATTTTATACTTGGTTTCCAAATTTCTCTTTCTGGAATCTGTTTTTGATTATTTAGCACAAAAGTTCGATAATATTTTTTTATTGGCGGGGATCCAAGTCACATGATGTATCTAAAGACAAACCGGGCAGGCCAGATGAACGTGGGAAATCTGGTCCCAAACGCAAGTTATCTTTCTTTGAAGAATTTGTCTTGGTTTTAATGCGTCAGAAAGTTGGTTTATTTGTAAATGATTGTGCATATAGATTTGGTATCTCAAGTGGACATGTTTCAAAGATACCTGGAAAGTCCTTGTTGGAATATCTCCTACTGGGGCAATCACATTTGTATCTAAACTGTGGTCAGGCCGTGTATCTGATTTATATCTGTATCTGATTTATATATGATGATAATCTGTATTATATTGTAAGTGAAAATATGATTAATAATTGTAACACAGTTGCTTACACTTTCATATTTGTATTACAGGAAAGACTAATAAAAAATGGTTCTTTAATTGTGACAGGGTTGCTTATACAACAACTCTTTCATATTTGTATAAAACGAAAGACTGATCAAAAAATAGTTCCTTAATTGTAACACTGTTGCTTACACAATAACTATTTCTTTCATATTTGTATTAAACGAAAGACTGATAAAAAGATCATCATCTGCCATGCTTAATTTGTAACTTTTGAATTTGTTTATATGGTATTTGCTCATCCATTATATTGTAAATATAAATTAATAGGATTGAAATTTAAAAAAATTGTATTTATAGACATAATGGAATTTGCGAAATGACAAGACTTGATTATAACAGTAGCATTTCTACTGTAGATACTAACCATTCTAAACAGAGTCTTTCCTTTATTATTTGAAATTCCAATTTTCAAAACAACTGAATATATTTCTAATTTCAAAGAAACTTTCTCCAAGCCACCATGAGAGTACAATTTTAGACTTCTTTTTGCATGCTTTGCGAAGAATTCTGGCAATACAGCTCTGCGATAGAAGAGGTTAAGCTGAGAAAGAATGGAGTTTTGAAAAAGATGTTCATCATACATAATGGATTGAAGGAACAAGGGTTGGTTATCTCCAAACCACACCACCAGATCAACTTTTCTTAATCCAGAGCAAAACATTTGACCTTGAATTTGGTAGTAATAGGCATGATTCTTTTTTAGCTCTACCACATCTTCAAAAAAACTGCTTATCTTCTACAGCGTCAATGAGAGAGGATTAAAATTTTGAATAAGGACACTTAATTTCAAGTCCCCGAGAATCTTGACCATGCTTTACAATACCCTCCAGGGATTCACCAAGACAAAAATGAATACTGGTTACAATAAGGCCAGGTTCATCAACAAAAAGTTTATTGAAACCATTGCATAGCAAAGTCTCCAAATATAAAGAACAAGCATGGGACTCATAAGCCTTTCCATGTCATGTGCTAAGAGAAGAGAAAGATGAACAAAACATTGACTTTAACTTAGACGATGGTTCAACAGTAGTGACAACAGCAGGGTAAGAATAGACCTTTCCCCTTGTTATGTCATGCACTCCCGAGTCCCCGGCCGTCTGTTTACGTTTTGTATGGTGATCAAGACACATTGTATTTTGCTGCTCAAAAATTGTTAAAAATCACAGAAAATCCAGTGAATTCTGATGGCCAGCAGTTGCCTAGTTATTTTCAAAACTCTAGTCCAGGGATCAGTGACAAGGAACTTCGGCAACAGAAGAACTTAACAAGAACAGAATTGTTATAGGTGCATTCGGGTCTACAAATGGCGATGGCTATTACGAAATAGTAGATACAGTGGGTGTGGATGAGACTGCAGAACCAGCCACAGTTGAAAAGGACGGTTGGTTAAGGTCCTTGACACTACTTCCAAGTTTAGACGATCGTTTAATTAATAGCCCTTTAACATCAACAGAGAATGGAGCAGCGCCCAAGGCATTTAGGAACAAAAAGAAGGATACAAACTATGGAAGGAGGGATATGTGAGTTCTGTACTTGTTATACCTAACATCAACGGGAAACGTATGTTATTCCTTGTGAAGGCAAAAGTATCTTCATCAATGAAGAGTGCCCAGTACATTGTATAGGTTCATTTAGACCAAATCAATGGTGATGTGGTTCATGCTAAATGCGACTGTAAAGTTGGCCAAAGAGAGTGCTGCAAGCATGTCGTGCTTTACTTTATACTTTACTTGACTTTGTCAACATTGACATTAAAGAAATACCATGTGATAAAACATGCACCCCGGTTGGGCAGAAATGGCATATTCCTTCAGGTGCAAGAAATTTGTTATCTAATGCTTTTAAGTTTCGAGATCTTGTTTTTGAAAAAGCAGAAGAAATTAAGAAGTACAAGAGGCCTCTTGTAACTGGAAGCAGAGACACATATTGTGCTACAACACAGTTTGCTTTGGAAACAAGTCCAGATGAACTAGAAGGCTTAGTGGAAAGCCTGAGATTGGCAGGCAAGGCCCCATAGAGTTCTAAAGTGATGACGTCACCAAAATCTATTTTTAGAATTTTTGAATTTTGACTCCATAACCTGAAAGATAATCATGAAATACCTCTAAATGTGTAAAATCAGGCAAGTGTATTACGAAATGGCAGAGATATGGCCACATGTTTACTGGTTCTCTCCCCATCAAACCTCTGTATTTTGGTCTCTGTTAATAACTTTATGAACAGAGCCAAAATAACAGTGATTCGTTAAAAAACTTCAAATCTTTCATTAGCCATATCTCAACCGATTTTAGACATATCTGGCCAATTTTGCATATTTGGAAGTATTTCATGGTGATCTTTCACGCTATGTGGTTAAAATTCAAAAATTCTAAAAATAGGTTTTTGATGACGTCACACTTTAGAACTCTATTGCTCTGTGAACCAAAGTAGTCCAATAATTATCAGTCTTGCTCTTTGTTCTAAACATCAAGCACAAGAGCTTCGGAGAAGATTTTCAGGAAGCATTTTCAATGAGCAAACTGAGTTGCATTATATTCATAGACGTTGGCACATCTGTTGAAAAATCGATTGAGATTTGTACCAAAACAATACAGCAGAGTGAAGAGCCAGCATGGTATTTGAAAGGGGCCAAAAGAATAACTGCATCTATCTTTGGAAAAGTTTTAAACAGAAGACCAAATAAGTATCCATCCTCTCTAATGAAAGCAGTTCTTGACAAAAACAAAAATTGTTTAGAGTCAATGCCAGCACCACTAAGATGGGGAATCAACTATTAGAACAGTGCTATTGCAAAATACAGTTAACTTAATCCTGAGCTTGAGGTGAAGAGATGTGGCTTTCTTATAAGTCCAAAATGGCCCTGGTTTGGTGGTACACCTGATGGTTTCATCTTTGATAATAATTGTCCTGTTGGAGGCTTGGAGGTAGAGTGCTCTTTTAAAAAATGGGACATGACATTGGAGGAAGCTTCTTTGACAGACCGGACTTTCTTCTTAAAGATAACTGGTGCTGGCTTTAAACTGAAGGAAAAATAAACTTATTATTATCAATGTCAAGGACTTTTAAATTTATTGGGACTTGAATGGATTGACTTTGCAGTTTTTACGTTAAAAGGCTTTAATTGTGAAAGAATATATAAAGATAAGTCATTGTGGAAGTAAAACATGCTTCCATCATTGACTGTCTTTTTGTTAAGCACATTTTGCCAAGGTTGTAAAAATGTTGCCATATTATTGTGAAACTATAAAAGCCTTTTATTTCTTGCAAAAGCTTACACACATGTTTAGTTTTCTTCAGAATGTCATAATCACGTTAATATTCATTTGTATTTTTTTTAATTTCTAATATTTAATAGAACCATGTTTAAATTTATATGTTTAAAGCTTTCATTTAAATAAGAAAATGTTAGAAAGACAAAAGAAAAAGACCCAGTGTGTTCTTGTAGTTTGATAAAATTGAAAACCACCAAAAATTAAAATCATTATATGATTTAATTTTGATTTGATTATATCTAATTTAACTGCGAAAAAAAGAGAAAGTATCTTTTACAAAAATGTCCTTAATCATCTGCTACATTTTCATTGATTAAAGGAGGAAGGAGGTTTGTAAGATAGGCACAAATAATTCATTCAACTGAGATGCCACTGTTAAAGAAAAACTGAGCTTAAAATTTTAAATGTTTTTATCCTTAAAATGTCCCTCTCTACCTGGATTTGAACTCATGCAATTTACCTTGTCTCCATCTCCTCTCCCAAAGACAAATGCTCTTTTCCCCACATGAATGGTGGAATGTTGAGGCCTACACCTTTTAGTAAGTCACTATGTTAGGTATGATCTAAAATTGCTATGTAGAAAATCAAGCCAAGTGATCCATACTCTGGAGAACTGGGTTGTAGATATTCCTGCTCTGTAAGCAATCTCTTCTTCAAGGAGAC